TTATCATTCCTCCTCCTATAACATTATGCTTGATCTCATTAAAATACTGCCCACAATTTGATGAAGAATTTAAGATGGGATAATAAATTAAACATGCTAAAATGCATCGATCCGGAAATTTCCAATTCATCAAAATTGAGTAACTAATAGTGCAACCCTCATACATTTTTCTCTCATCTTCAGAATTCACATAAATTTTTTCGTTGGGATTTTTTTTATCAATTGCCGAAATTTGCATATTCCCACTGCAGTAGAAATTTCAGTAATTCCGCTCCATTAAACAAGCACACAACATATTGCCGACTGTGATGTAGTACATATGATCGATCGGATGATAACAGTTAAAGGAAGACTGAATGGATAAGAGATTTTCAGAAGTGACACGTTAAGGTGAAGAATTAAATCGGCAATGAAAAATCCTAAAATATGCTAACAATTGGCATCATTTGGCGGGACAATTTTCAGCTTATCCCATTTATCACATATCCATCGATCTTTGTTGTAAAGAGTTTGTCTCTTTCAACTATTCAAATTTTTAGCTTCCGCAATTCCCAGCTTTTATGAAATTTCGATCCTGAAACTTTTAGTGACATCAAAATGTCCAGATATTCATTGCATATTAAATATTGTCCATGCGAATATAATATCATTTGAGCAAGTGTTAACAGAGATTCGGATAATTATAATATTATTACATCACTGTTTTCAGAAAAGTGTGAATTTTAAATTTATAGTTTTATCAAAATTTATCATTTTTCAAAAAATTCAATCATAAAACATACTATCACTCTCAGTTTATTTCTCTTAGTTTTTCTGATTATAACTGGAAATTATCATCACTCATTATCAGTTAACCAATCAGAAAAAACGAAGGATACATTTACAGCGACATTTATTCATCTTGAAAATTACTGAAATGTCTACCGGTTTATAATTATGATCCGATTATAATGCATCCAAATTTTTGCATTCAAATTTTCTTTAATTCAGATATTGCCTATAACAGATTAATGAGACAGACCTTTAAACTTTTTCTTTTGCAATAATTTTATCCAGTGATAAAATTCAATAAAATAAATCAAACGCTGCTAATCTATCGTATCATGGTCAAATACAAGCTTTACTACAAGAGCTTTTTGAAAGAAACCTGTGATGCCACCTGTCAAATCATTCCATTTTTTGTTAATCTATCGGTTAAGATGGCATTTATTACTTCGCTGATATTAATTTCTAGCGTGTTTAAAATATCAAAAATGTCACCAATAAATCCATTTGTAAATGACTACAAGTAATGATTGAAAGAAAGGATTAAAAAATTCTGGCTTCACAAAAAATTTGCTTACCGTTTCTGTTTCTTGCTTACTGTTTCTATTACCGTTTCTGCATGAGTTTTGCAAAGTTCGTGTATTGCCAAATGCAAAATTCATTTTGACATTGTCAGAAATTACGTCAATATACCTCGAATGTTAACATTTACATCGCTGAAACTTATTTTTGCACTTTGTCAAGACTAACACTGTAACGGCTCACTTGCTGAATATGAATGGTAATGTTGACAGATCTCATAAAATGCATTCAAAGAGATCGATAAGGTCAAAGGTGAAAAATAAAATAAAAGTTGAAAAATGAAATTTATGTGTACAAAAAAAGCAATCATTTTTCTGGCGATAATGTGAAAAGAATAAAATTCGGTGAATTAATTGAAATTTGTCGGAAAATATTTTAACTTAGTGCTTTACTATAAGATATCGAATTTAAATTTAGATAAATGTGAAATATTTCAATTGTTTCTCCAATTTATTTACAACTAATAATTCATCAATTTGATGTTTGATAAATCAAAGTATCATTGAAGAATCTGAAAAGATTTGATAAAAATGGAAAGGTATGATCGAATAACTCATGTAAAATGCAAAAAGTATTTAGAGGTACTGATTTTGAATGGATTTCAAAAATCTTTGATAATTTAGGATAGACGCAGAAACGAATGAAATATTTGATGAGAGGTAAATTTGCAAAACGATAGTACGGACAATTTTGAATGAAGGTTGCAAGCATTTATTTCAAGCTATATACTATGAAGTAATTTTGAAAAAAAAGAGAAAGGAAGATACTAGATAAATTTATAGAGAAAGAATACGAACGAAGAATATAAGGAGATTATTTGAGACAGAGGAATAAAAATAAAAAGAGTGTATTATAGGGATTTAATTAGTATGAAATGAGGTGGAAGGGAAGGAAAGGATTTATCGATACAATTCGAAGAGAGCAAAAGGATTGGTGAAATTAAGTTAAATATTAGTTTAAGGATTATTTCATTTAATTTTCATCGTTCATTATTTGACTTTTATCAGTTAATTATCAATTAGTTTGCAAAAACAAATGATAATTAAATGATAAAAGATCGCGTTTCATAATATGAAAGAGAAAAAGCTGTGGAAATAATTTCTGTAGAAATATTTATCAGAATAGGTAGCACCCACTGAAGCTCTGCCAATTAGCACTCACTGAAGCTCTGCCAATTAGCACTCACTGAAGCTCTGCCAATTAGCACTCACTGAAGCTCTGCCAATTAGCACTCACTGAAGCTCTGCCAATTAGCACTCACTGAAGGTCTGCCAATTAGCACTCACTGAAACTCTGCCAATCTTAAATTGCCAGAAAAAGCATTCCTACTGTTATTAACAAAACAAATTTATTACAGAAAGAAGTCAATTCCATTGTAAGCTCCTTATTTCATACATAATTTTTTTAAAAGCATACGGACGAATTACAAACTTAGTGACCTAATAACTTATATAATTTCAAACGGTTATCGTATATCTTTTCATAATTTTACTATGTTTTTGGTGGTTTTGGCAGTTTCGGAATTCTTCATATATTAATTAATGTTCTTAAATGTATTTCACACAAATATTTCTCTGCTACAATGATGATTTTCAGCATTTAAAAACTTCTTCAATTGACAATTGCAATTAGGTAATAGCAGCGAATGGGAAAATTATTGAGAAAAGTTAAAATTAATTCGATTCTATCATATTACGAATGATAAATTGCTGATGGTCTGTGTGTTGCTTTGTTTTGACAGCGATGATAATTCTTCCTTCCGGTTTATCCTTATCGACTATTCCATCCTATCACATTTTAATGATAGGAAGCAATCTTTACTCTTGTCTCCGGTTTATCGCTACCGACTATCCCATTCTATCACTTTACTAAAATGATCAACATTTCGGTGCAAAGTTCCAATTTCGAATTTCAGTTTTTTTTTATCTCAGTTTTAAGTAATAATTAAACATTGAAAAAAAACATGGCCTCAAATATTAATTAAGAGAACATAGTCTCATATTCATTCATTCTAATCTTTCGTGATTTCCGCCATTGCCATTTTCTATTCTTCTAATATCTTTGCCTATTCTAAACCAAAAAAAAACATCGTTACCACAACTTTTTTCAACTGTAACAGTAGTGTTATTAATGATAATATATAATTAGTTTAACATTCAGTTATTGTTTTACCTATTCCCGCACTTATCGCATTAGTAAATGAATGACTATTGGATAAATTTCAGAAAACGAAGGATAATACAGAAATGTGACTGAACAGCTGATTGATACAACTTATATAAGGAATGGATAGATGAGCTGTGCTACTGCTCAATCATTCATATATTCAGAATTGACGCACTGATAGCTATCGCTACTATCTGTCATTCCGTAAACAACTGTTTTCAGTGATTTTACAGGACACAATACTTATGGTACCCAAGGACAATATACGATTATTTATGATGTTAGCCAGTTTGACATTTATTCCTAGTTCATCTTCCACTTTTAATCCATTTCAATTATCATATCAACCTACTAATCATTACAACTTCCATTGTCAGCAAGAAGCAAAATATTTGACAGTTAACAAAACTGGTAAGCACGAATAACATTCATCCATTCCTATGAATTGCTTCTGGCATTACCTACATGGAATTGAAATTCTAACAGTATTTAAATTACAATTGAATTATATTGTTTGCACTTTTCCACCGAATAATAAATAAACGATGACTATTGGCAATTATCATCAAAATAACGAAGATTTTTGGCAATACCCGCTTGACATATTAATTTACCTCTCTTCCTGTCATGTGGAATACGAAGAAAGTTTTTCAGCCATATCTATTCCATACAAATCAACCGGATAACAGTTCCGTGCACCTAATGGTAATAAATGGATTATATGTTGAAAATTTATGTTAGTATTAGTGTCGTGTCGAATATTGTTTGTGTGTTAGTATTGAAGTCATGGTAGTAATCTTCCAGATTCTTCCGTCTAATATACGGAATTCCGAGCAGAATTATTCATCCAATACTTAATTAGTTGAACGACTAATTCCACTTCAAATCTTTAATCAGTTAAGCAATGATTTTTGATGAACATTTATTAGAAATTTCTAAAAATATTTCTCATAAGGAATCAGTCAGCCAATCCTCAGAATTCTTTTAAGATATTTACTTTCGGTGTCCATCTAAGAGTCAGCTTCTGCAACAAATCCTTGAAGCTTCTCTCTTTTTTCATTTATAATTCTATTTATAATTTGTTTCTTTTTATGCGAAATGTTGAACGAATGATTAGATGATTAAGTTGTAAAATAAAATGATCAATTTTTATTGCAACGATAGTAATTTACTGCTAGAATAACTATACTGAAGCGATAAAATTGAATGAGAACAAAAGAGACAATTAACTATAGTTCTAAACAGTATTGTATTGTTGTTGATATCTTTTCAAATACATTTGCCCTAGTAAAGGGTCAATCATTATCATTATCTTTCCAAGATAATTTTATCATAGAATTATGCAAATGGATATGATGAATATAATAATGTCATTTGATTGGAAGAGATCAAATAGGACAGATAAAGCAATTAACGTTTTTGTTGGAAGTTATCACATTATATTATTTCGAAATATATAAAACAAACAGAATAAAGTGAAGAAAAAGTCATTCTGCAGTTGATCTAATTCGCTTAATCCTTGGAAAATGATTCTCCAAGCCACCATTTTCAGGACCCACTGTTGTTTCAACGCTGTTGGTGCCCTAAATAATATTCATACCAATTCGGCGATGATTACTTTCAGTTGTAGCACTATTAATAATTTGATAAGCAACTTGTAGAAAATATTTCGCAAAAATACTTCATTAAAATCCGAAATATTTCAATATCAAATGTCTCCGCCTCAGTAAAAACTTGTAATTATATAATTATGCTTGAAGAACGCCATATCTACTCAAACTGAAAAAAATTCCAACACAAAATTTGATATATATGAGCATATAAAAACTCCACGCAAAAATATTTCTGATAACACACCCGATAGGTATCGGACGATAATTGGCACGAATGCAAAACATCAAGCTTCTTTTGAATTAACGGCCATAATATGTCATCTGCTGTGCCTTTAGCAATTAAATATTGCACGAAAACTGAATCTTTCTGACCAAGCCTATGAGCCCGATCTTCGGCTTGCTTTAAAGTCTGCAGAAGAAAGGGTATTTAAATGTGAAAAGAGAGAAGTTAGCTAAAAAAAAAAGAGTATTAGTAAAATTGTAAAAACAACTAAGTGTTAGAAGCAGGTCAAAAGATAAGTCTACTTCTATGGATATTCAGCGACACGATAATTAATTCGATACAACTAGTCCAACAACCATGGCACTGATAAATTTTTTCGCAATAAACAACCACTTCCAATGACTTTCACACCTTCGTTTGATGTCAGCCATTTAATAAGACTTATTTTAATCCTGCGGATGGGAAATTTAAAATAAGTATGAAAAAATTAGCTATCACACCAAAATATGACTATTACCAGGACAAGAACTTTGGCTAATATTTCCATGATGCATTATTTGCTGAAGGCCTCCTTAAAATAATGACCACAATCTTATTTCACCACAATGTAATGAAAATTACATTGTGGTGAAAAATGTAATTTTCATTACATTGTGGTGAAAAGTGCAATTTTCATTACATTGTGGTGTAATAACCTTGTCAATACAAGCCTTCTCATTCATAGCTTAATCTAATTCTTAACTTAATTATCAGGACAAGAATTGGAACAAGGAAAAATCTTGAACACACTCACAAATGTAATCCGTTTAAAGAAATTAAAAAATTCGAAAAATAAGACTAACACCCGGGTTCCAATGTAATTCAGCGAATATAACAACTGACGCAGCAGTTAAAGTAACACCGATACCCGCAGCAGTTATTGATAAAACTGCAACCATAACATCATCATTTTCCTGAAATAACCGACATTGCTCATCACGTGACCGGCTAACCGTCGAACCATCGATTCGTATCGATCTCAATCCCTATAAAAAATATCGCAATTACTCTGGTTCCGTTATCTTAGTTACATAATTCAGCTCTCAAAACTACTTAATTTTAAAAAATTTACACAAATCTAAAATTCTTCATTCTTTCTCCTTTCCTTATTCTAGTAAGCAAGAAAAAGAACTCCTTTTCCACATATTGCAGGTACGCCAACAAACTTATCTACTGATAACCTTTTTGGCGACGTCCATAGATATCATATCCAAGACGACCTGATGGTGAGCAAATATCAGCAGCTTCCTTTTTGGTGCACCATCGTAAAAATAATGATCAATAATATATCGAGCAACACTCCTCGCTTTAGCAATTCCAGTCTCATAATAATATTGAACCAATCGTTGATGTTTTATATCATTGTCCTTGAAACTACTAGTCGTTTTTTCAAAAATTTTTGAAACCTAATCATCGCATCAGTCAGTCCAAATACCATTAGATTAATGTAATTTTAAACTCCTCTTTAATTAATGACAGTTGTCAGGGAAAACCTTAGCGTCACTATAAGCAGCCTTTGCTTCTCGCAGTTTGCTAATATTTGTGTAAATGGAATCATCCGTTAGGTGAACAACCTCTCGTCGCTTCGCCGGAAGATCATTTAAAACATCTTTTTTTAACCTCCTGAAAGAGTGTTTCCGTTGAAATTATCACTCAAAACAAAATTTTAACACGACATAAAATGAGGTAGTGGAAAATCTTACCTCAACATAACACTACCAGTTAGAATTATTGCTAATTCATCACTATTTGTACAGCCTTTGGCTTCAAAACTGTATTTTCCTTGTTTCCCATCACAGTACCGAGTTGCAAAATCACGATAGTTCGGGAACATTTTAGAATCGATGATTCGAATTTGACTGAATAATTCCACTGGACGTGAAAGAGCTGGTGTTCCAGTCAGCAAAATAATTCGTAATGCTTTCTTCTAAATGATTTCATAAACGATGGAAACGCTAATAATTAGCAAAACATACTAGAAAGAATAATAGAAGTTATGTAATGCTGAAAAATTAACAGAAATTGAAGAGAATCGAAAATAATGAAAGAATTTTATAACCCAACGTTTGATTTTTAAGTCAATTTGGAAGATTTAAATTAAACTTGAAAAAAATTAATTTATATCTTTATATTTATAGAAAACCTACTGAAATGTGCATTGCAGTTTTGGTTCTTTGAGCATTACTGTCCTTTAGTAGATGTGATTCATCCTTGAAATTAATTCGCATATTAAGACCGAGAAAAGATGAGAATTTCTCCATTTCAAGAATTTAGGAAATTTAAAAACTTACAAAAATGATTGCTTTAAAATCGTATTCAATAAGTTGAAACTGTTTAGAAACCATTAAGTCATAACTCATGATAACCACCATTTGTTTGGTTTTCTTAAATGGTAAGCGATCGCTTCCTTTTTCAATGATGACGATTTCATCAACATTCGGTAAAAAACTTTCGAATTGCTACAAATTTGATAAAACATTAATTAAATCGATTAGATCGATCAGAAAGGATCAAACTAATTAATATCTATGTAGACACATAATTTCCAATTTTGAATTTTAGAAATAAATACAAATTTCGATTTTTTTCTCAGTAGGTATTTCAATAGAATGACAAACATACATTCAACCAGGAGAATTTTACAGATGATGGACATATAATAAGCAGAGGCCAATCACATTTAAAATATCGAGCAATACCAAGAGCCTGAATCGATTTGCCAAGCCCCATTTCATCGGCCAAAAGCAACCGACCTCTTCTCATCACACCATATCTGGAACAATTTTATCTTTTAAATTCAAATTTTTTTATTTCGACGTAAGGCACAAATTTGAAGCAGACAAATAACATACAGTACAACATACATTATACCTCGACGCTGATATGGAAAAAGCGCATCAACTAGTGTCTTTTCGATGTGCATTTCAAGATTAGGCTGATTCATGCTGGTATTTGATTTACCGTAAGTTAACAGTATCTAAAGCAAACAAAGATGAAAAAAATAAATTATTGATGTAGAAAAACAAATAATAAAGAAATGAAAAAGAACTAAGTTACCTTAACAGCGTGATCCGAAATTTTTTCCATTTCTACTGAGATATTATCTAATGACTGCAAGGCTTTTTCAACTGTAGAAATGTCTTCCAAAGGAAATGACCAAGCTTTTATTTCAGGGACATAAATTTTAGATGGGATTGCCTTCAGAACAGAAATAACTGAATCATTGAACGGAGCAAACTGTACCTGAAATAGGAAAGGATGATTGTCTTCACACAGCAGCTTATAAACTTTTATGGAATTCGAATGGAAATTCTTAATGCAAAACTTAAAAAAAGGAAGAAAAAATATCTTTTCCCCTGTCTTCTAACTTATTTTATCTGTTCACTTTTCAATTTTTTTAACGATTGCACTTTATGTAACAATCGAAAATTTATCAAACTGTTCCATATGACATTTTACTGTCTATCAACAATTGTATTCGTTGCAAGAGAAATGATGTTGTCAGTTGTGAATGTAACTAACCTGAAAAGATTTAGAATCGATAAGCTTGAAGATAATGTTAACAACATTCTGCTTACGATGAACAATTGTGGCAACGGGTGGTCGTTTAATAGGTGATACAGACAACAGTTTGTGATCCACCTCATCTTTCGATGCAACGGAAAGAGATGTGGATGGTTGTTGTTCATCACGATATGTTATAACATACTTCGTAGGTGATGCTGACTGATGGAACGTAGCCAGAGGAAATTTGCATCCATCATGGCTTCCTGCTATAGACTGCTGTACAGGCCTCCTATTTTCATCTCGAACTGTAACAGATACTTTGTTGGATGAATTCAAAGACTTCGAGTTCCGGTGATAACACTATTTGCTTTTTCCTGGATGTGCCTGAGATATCAATGATGGAATAATTATTACCCACTATACTTCTATTTTTGATATTTTCCAGTTCCATCTCTCGTTGCTGGCGTAAAGCCATCCGTCGCATAGCTTCCGCCCGATTACGTTCAATCCGTTTGAGTTGTTCGGTAGTTAAAGAAGCGGCCATATTAACTCAAACAAATTATAAAACATTAAGACTACGTTTATTTGCAAAGCGAAAAATAGCTAAAATAAACGATATATTACTGAATGCAGCCTGAACTATAGAAGGCCTAACTTAACATCTCAAAGGCAGCTAGCCGAACTGACCTCATTTTTCATCCCATTACCTTCTCTTGTTCGGAGTAATTTTTGCCGAACTATGATAACTTCCCGAATGAAATAAAAATATTGGTTGACAAAAAAAAGAAAAAAATGGGAGATAGGCATGAATCACATCGTAGAATGTAAAAAGGATGCAGCATTTCTATAAAGTATCGCCAGATGCCTCTTTCCATGATGTGGATACTCGACCTTTCAACTAGTCTCTTTTAATCTCAAAGGCTCCTCTATTGATTAACTTAACCCAACTCAAAATTTAGCTTTCATAATATCCCAATTTACCTTAACAGAGAGATCTTAGCCTAGATAACTGCAAAACCAAAACAGAATACTTCGACATAATGATTAGATTTTCCTTTTCTTCTACTTTCCGTTCATACAACCACATTCCTGGCCATCACTATGTTCTAAAACAGCCTTCTCTCTCAGCACTCGGAATTTGACTAAATTTACGGACGACTTACCAAACAGGAGCTAGAACAATAAATTGTAATACATTACGCAGTCTCATCGATACTCCGTCAACTCGGTGTGCAGAAGAATATTATTTTTGAGCGCATTAGGGAACGTTCCCCATAGCTGCGTGACAGATGAAGTATTCTGATCGTAAAAAATTTTATTTCGCAAAAATAAACAAAAAAAACGAACGAAGAGTACAGTGTTCAGTCAATCAGCTACCATATCTATTTACTTTTGCAATAGTAAGGATTAATGAAAAGGAATTATTCCGGAAAATAGATTGCTGCATGCTACGTTCCTCAATTTACGCAAATTTAATAAGTATACTAATAATGAATGATCCGGAAATCTCATCGCTAATGAATAAAAGCAAGTTGGTAAGGAAGATTTATCACTGCTGCTGCTGCTGCAAATTACATGATCACTGCTGATCAAAAAACCAAACGATATTATCCTTCAACACCGGAATAATTGAAGATGGGATTAATATAAGAGGAGAGCCTCGGGGACGGTAGATGAATGATTGAATCCAGACCTGATTGGTAAAAAAGAAACAAATAGTCACACCATGTTATAACAGTGGTGAGAAATATGAAGAAATTCATTTCATTAATTAAAGGAGAGTTGTCAGTAAAAGGTAAACAAACTTTTATTTGAATCGGAAAAAAAGGTATAGAGGAGTAAATTAATGACAAATAGGATTCATTCTAAAACAATGCAAATGAAGCAAAGCGTGACCAGAAAAAGCATGACATTTCCGGGAAAACGATAAAGCGACAAGGAACAAACCACTGAAGTTAAGAGAAAGGATTATAAACAGTAATAAAAACAACGACCAAAAATATAGATAGAGGCAATCTTAGATTCGAACTTAAAGGACAAAAACAGAGAAAAGTGAGTAAAAATAAAGAATTAAACGAATAAACAGCAAGCAAGTGCAGACGAATGAACTGCTTATGTATAAATAATGATGCGTATAGATGAGCAATGATCAGGAAGATGTTTCAAAAATAAAAATTGAATTACTCGAGATTAAAATAAGAAACCAACTGATATCCTATAAGTGCGGTAGACGGATATGCCGCAAAATTTGCAAAACGCACGGTACACGACTAACTATAAACAGAGCAACTGATATTGGCCGTACACAAACTTGAAAATCATTATGTGAACCAAACAAATTTCACGAGTTCCAGAAGACGACTTCTAAAGAATATCCCTAAATTAATCGTTCCATGATAATTTGTAATGGTCAACAAGAACAAACGGTAACTGAAAGTCAGTCTCTCCGGTAACAGGCTCTCGACGTACGTGAAACTGAGGCCTCAACGACGTAGCTAACTCAGAATGGTACCAGTGAAGATTCACTATCGTGTCAGTAAAAGTTGCGAACATTTCTAACCAAACCATTAACACGTCACTATTACTGTAACAACTCTTTAATTACATCATCGTCCAGATGACAAACAAAATTGATGATGATGACTTGAAATTTCATCTAACTATTACGAGGATTAAATAGGATCAATGTTACCAAAAAGTACCTTCATAATGTCAATACTGCCCATATACCCACTCTCTTTTTATATTCAAATAAGAAAAATCAAACGCTGGGAAATTGTTAATAGTAATATCAGAAAATCAGCATGCAGAAACGTACCAGATCTCATTCTCTCTACGTTGAAAAAACGCTCAATTTCTAAAATATGGAAAATAATAGCATGTAAAAGAAATCTCTGCTGTACGATAAAACTTGCATGCATGCACATATACATGCAGAAAGCTTAAACGCAAAATACATATTGGTAATATTATGATGTCACAGCTTCCAAATGTGCCTGAGAATGAGCATTTAGCATGCGTACCACTTACAATCGAATTTGTATGCGCCTATCACATATGTCATATAGGAACAAATGCAGGCAACAGAAACCTTATTACTATTCTCATCACCTGAAAATTCATACTGTGCTGAAGTTAAATTAATTAGTAATTCCACATGAATCCTACACCTTTATTAGGATCTGATAAGCTTCCAGTATTTCGGGGATACACGTAGAACCAATGAAACCTAATCAACATTCGCTCAAAATATCATTAACATTGTTTTTGTTACCTACAAATGTCCTGTGAAAACGGTCGCAAAATGTGAGATGAAAAAGGAGAAAGAGGAAAGCACAGTTTGGAATATTATCGGATAAACACGACTGCGATAGTCTAAACCGTATATATATCGCTTAACTATTATGATAATGATATTACAATGAAGATAGCGTATCACAACTTTCCCAGATGACTTCATTACATCGAATTTGGAAAATCCATAATAAAATCCCGCTAGTGCCCCAAATCTGAATATCCAATTAAAAGAAAAAATATCAGCCATCCAAATCCAGAAGAAGACCTTCTGCTACGAACAAAGTTCGAGGACTTCCGAAGACATTATGTAAACCATTGGTAATACAACTGTTTGCGGACGAAGTGTAGAGTAAAAGAAAAAATCTTGAGAATAAAAGAGAAAAAAAGTAACTGATAAGGCGAACAATAATTTTTTCTGCATTTTTAATATAATGAACACGGTTACTAATTTATAAACATAGGTGTGACAACTATCCATGGAATAAAAAACAAAAAAGGAGAAAAAAGAATAGTTCAAATCTTAAAAATGAATAACTGCAAGAAGTCTATCAAAAGGATGGGAAAGAAGAGAATAGAACGAAGTGATAGATAAGCAAAAATATTAAGTTCTTCTTATCAATCTTATTTGTACTATGCAATCCAACTTTCTGTAGAACCACCGCGTAAATTGGTGGGATATATTTTTCCTAAAAAATTGCTAATGGACTACTTAGAACATCAAGTACTGCAATAACAATGCCACAATTCATGGCAAATAACAATGAATGTTGCAAGACAAAACGAAAGGACAGCTCATCGCCTAGAGATAGATGCGTTTATATTGTCCACTGACAGTTCTTTCTTAGCTGCTGTAGCCGGCTGAAATAAGTTTGTAAAAGAATTCTCTGATGATGACAATATAAGAGTTATTACTAAACAGAATATTTGAGTACGTGACCATCAATGCATGCCATTAATTTAATTAAATAAATATTCCTCACAATAAAAAAAAAGCATTTTAAATCAATTTTGTCAGAAATTTGATCTGTTCTAAAATCGAGAAATCGAGAAGAATAAGAAATACTGACATCAAATTTGAAGTCATCCAAATTCTTGTATTCTGCTAGCCTTTTCTTAAGAAATGGATGAACTTCTAAGCGTCTCGAGTGCTTGTAGAATTTTAGAAAAGCCCAAAACTTCTCCAACCCGTAGAGTTCACCTCGCTTAACATCGTTCATTGTTTCCTCTTGGAAATCTAGGTACACATTTGGCCTGAACTTACGTTCTAGACCAAAATTGTAGAATCTAAAGAGGCATTCTAACCCGTACCTGCAAGAAAAACAATATTGCATTTACAAAAGATTTTAAAAGTTGCACACTTTTAAAACAATAAAAAAAGCAAAATTTCTCGAGGGATTGCAGCAGACAACAAACCTGTAACCCGCTTCCGCATCCTCAAGGGCTAAATGTTTAAATTCTTGATACATTTTCCGGTTGAAGTGGTCTCGCAAAAAGAAAGATAAGAAACGAAAATACGTATTCATTTCAGTTGTGCCATAACCCAAATGTTCCCTCTGTTGTAGACATGATATTCTCCATTTCGTATATATCTGTACATTTACAACAATGTCGTTTCACAGCAATGTTTGAATAGACTGATAAATATAATTCAAATGAATTTGGCTAATTAATAAATTTATCAAAACTGCTCGATTATTTACTTCAGTGCATTTTCTGAAGTAAGTGGTTTTAGGATACCAACTTCCATGAAACCGCTAGTTAAACTCTCTACTGATTAAGGTTAATCTTGACGCTAATCCCGGTATCATATTTTTGGCTCATATAATCTTCTAAAGATATTTCTCTTCTTTGATATTTTTGGTCACTACCATTCCATCCCTTTATGAGATGATCAGCTATTTAAAGTTTTTTTTGCAGCATCTGGTGGTAATTCAGCTTAGTTCAAAATTGCAGATAATATATGTAAACGAAAATTCGTCGTGAAAAACACTAACTTGTTCTTGGAAGCCATTCTCCTGCAACAAGCTAAAGGAGATATGCATTGAAGGACCAGGTACCGTCTGGCCACTTGTTGATTCGACCGAGTCGCTGCAACTATTCATTGAAAAATTTTGCAGCCAGATGTGCAAAAGTTATCAATATGTAAGCACAAATATGACACCCAACAGACTTACGCATTAACAGAAGATGTTCTTGAGCGAGTGCCAAAAACCCAACCAACAGGCATTTCAACAGGTGGATTTTCGCTATGACGAGTTTTATACTTTCTTGGCTGAGAAGAATCTGGAGAGGTACTCTCCTTCACTGGATAAAAGCGTGGTGTTAGCATACCACATTCCGTTTCTCGTTTTGCCAACGGACTTTTTGTCTGAAATATCTTTGATGTGTTGCAATATAATCATCATTATGTACCTTTATGTGCCTTAAAATATCGAAATAAATGCAAGAACAGAAAACATGTGGCAACTATGAGTAGCTGAATATGGAACCAAATTGCATCGAAAGCACCGGGTGATACTTGTGTTTCAACTGCTTCACAAAAAGAATAATAGAATACAACAAATAAACACAAAAAACAAATATCAAAACTTCTACCGATGATGCAGCGTTTGCTGCAGCTCTTTCACGAGCTTTCTGCGCCCAAACTGAAGAAATTTCCGGGATAGTATTTGGAGTCGGAAACACTTTCGGCGATGGTTCCGATGTACATTTCTGAATAGTGCTATCCTCCCTTCTCAGTTGCTTGAATACATCCTCCGAAACAGTGTCAATTTTATTTATATGAGTCTGAAAATGCCACTGGATAAGTGTATAAAAAATGCATATTTTCTTTAGTGCACAAAAAGCAAGTTTGTCAATATGATGATAACATGATTACCTTACGACCAACTTCTTTACGATTCCATAATTCATTTTCGTATCGCCTAAGACCGTATTCCATTTCTTCCGTGAAATTTTGATTTACTTTGGAAGATGATGAATCACCAGCACGATCAAACTGCCTTTTATCGGATGACGCTGGTGTTACAATGATTAGTTTTTTGATATTTGCATCGCTTATATCTTCCGATGAATCATCCGACATTGCACTAAAGAGCTGATTTTTAATTGAGAAAAAATTTTGACTTGATCTCCGCCAGCAATAAAGAATGTATCATGTTGATAGCTTTAACTGAGGCGAAAAGAAGCGAAAATTTGCAAAACTTACACTCTATTAACTGCTCTTCTTTCACGTCGTGGCAGATCTGGCACTGCAAAAAAATCGTCGTCATTTTGTATGTCAATTTCTGCAGCAGGTCGTGCAGATGGCGACGAAACATAGTGTGATGCTCCCTTGCCGGCAGTGTTGCCAGAAGTTTTACTTTTTCTTTGCTTTCGACTTTTAACCTACAACTTCTATGTGCAAATAAAATCATATAATTACGACTATAAAATAAACACACAAAACATGACTGAATATATGAACTATTTTGCAAATTACAGCCACATAAAAACAGCAAACCTCTTGCCAATCCTCCACTTCAGACTCTTTAGTTAGTTCCCTATTCCGTTCTGTCATCCCATTACTGCTGTTTGCACCATTGTTATTCCCGTTTGTGCTCGACGACTGTCTATGCGTGACACTCTCCACTTCGACATCCTTATTGCCTTTAGCTAAATTTGAATTTGCTTCATCTGCAATCAGTGCGGAATAATTGCCAGTAGTCATTTTTTTGGTGGTGTCGTTACTGCTGCGTGTCTCACAAGCTCGTTTTTCAGCTTCGAGTGATTCCAAAGAAACAGATGGCTGCAATTCAGCTTGCACCAAAGCATTAGAATCCATCGTCTCAGCAGCCAGTGGTGCTGCTGTAATCATCTGAGTAATCATCGAAGATGCAACATTTGCTGCCTTCATAGCCGTTTCAGTTGCCGGACGAACAGCACTGCTAATTGATTCCGTAGTTTGCAATAGAGCTGGCGAAAGCGGCCATTGTTGTGGGTTATCACGTGGACGAACCTATAACAGAAATACAAAACAAATTTGGAATGTCAGACATAATTAATGCGAACTGTTGCTTTTCATAAAATTTATAAATAGCTTAAAAAAATTCAGAAAAAAATATTGTATTAGACCCCGAAGTAAGAATATTCCAAAGTATAATACTAATGATGTGGTGAATATATTTAAGCATACGATAGCCAACTAAAATTTTATATTCACTCAGCGATCACCAAAATTATACAGTTAGTCCGAAATCTCAAATGAAATTTCCTGACGAAACATAATTTTCGAAAACCACTTATTCGTTTGTATGAAATTAGAGCAATCACGTGCTTACATTTTCACTGTCGTCGCTAAGTTCCACTTTTTCACTATTTCGCAAAGCTTCCGTAATTAATACAATATTATCGGTGAGTGTACGAACACGCGGGAAACTAGCTATCAATACTAACGATAAGAAACCATTTTTATCCATCTTCCGCCGTAAGTAAAAATCTTTCTGGAGATTCTCCGGTGACAGGTAATACTCTCTGAAACAGTAATTCTTCGTCATTGCATAAAGTGAGAGGCATAATGGAATCCTACAACACAAAATCTACAGTTTATTCCATAAACAGTGCATCATTAACAGTGCATATTTACAGAAATTGTCTCGAGGAAGAAAAGATAAAATGTAAGATTGGATAAGAATCATGGGATCCATAAAAGCTAAAAAGTACTATCGCTGTTTTGAGAAAAACAATATCGAATAATGATAAACTTACATTTGTTTTCTAACATATTCTTTCAAAGTTTCGCCGGTGATCGGTGCCTGAGGTGATATGGGTGGATAGGCGGAATGGTAAGGGACGCTCATAGGGCCTACTGCTGATCCAGGGATGAACTCACCTTTACTTGTGAGAACACCACTTCCAGGTGAAAGTAAAGCGGTTGGTGTTGGTGGGACGGTGTTAGATGTAAGCGATGATGCTACACTGTCTGAACGTGACTCACCTATGGTTGCAGCTGCAGCTGCCACCGTAGGAGGTGGTTGAGAAAGCAGATGAGGGTTAAATGGGGAAATATGTGAATGACGAAACGTTAAGGCAGCCATTTGTTGATGTGCCTGGAACATAATATTCGCAGTGGGAAATGCTGCCGCTAATGCAGGATCCAAGCATGTCGAACTGGGATCGAAAGGAGGTATGGTGGACACAGCATAGAATTGGGCATATTGAGATTCCATAAGATCCATATAATCGAAGTTATCATCGTCTCCCGCACATTCGTCCCAGTCTGGCAGTGGTCCACGTGCTCGTCTTTGTGCTGCAGTTAATTTAGGAGGCGCTTGCGGATGTGACCTACGTGGTTGCCATTTATCATTACGCGAAAAAAAAGTTTTGTTGCGATCCATCATATCATCTGTTCCAACATTACTACTAGCGTTTCCACGTTCATAATGAAGTGGCTGTTGCTGCTGCTGACGACGTACAGCATCGGCTGCTGAGCCACCATTTTTATGCCAATAATCTACTCCACTTATACGATTTCCAATTATCGGCGCACGCATAAATTGTGGCTGCCCAAAATACGGTCGATGGCGATTTCCACCATTTTGAAGCGCTGCTGTTGCTGCCGACGTAGTAGCCCACTGCTGTTGGGTAAAACCGTTTGGTGTTGCACTTGCCATCGCCGTTGTCTCGTCACGTTTGTTGTACCTGCAAAAATAGATTATATCACTTTAGCATAATTGTTAAAAAACAAAACTATGATTTCAACTCCTTATTTTCAAAATAGCAGAATCTATCACAAAGCAGCAATAACAATTCCAAGCAAATGAATCGTCATCAGATGAAGCGAGAAAAGTATATTTCAAAATTTAAAGAAAAACGTTGAGAAGTAATTCATATACATTAAGTTTGGATATTCGATTGCTTTTTTGTTCGTTTCGAATATTTAAATAAAGTTCAAACTGTTTTTGGATGCAACTTTGAATGAATAACATGAAGAGCTAAATAATAGAAGTAAGCTAATACAGTTCAGTGTCATAAGAGACAAAAAAAATGAGAATGAATTAAAAGATACACCAATTTCTAAAGCGAGCCACGATAAAATCTGAACTTATAATAGAAGTAACAATACTCGAAAAGGAAATCATCCACGATGATGACTGAACAGGAACCTTATTATTAAAACCTTGTGGACTGGTTTTCCACGAGGTTTTTTTCCATTTCCTAAATCAATCGAACTTTAATGTAAGTGAGCATGAACATATTTTTCTTTCCTTCCCTTCATCATTTTTCAATTTTCTTTAAGAAATAACGCCGTCTGCCCAACTGCAGGGTATGTATCTAATTCCTTACAATTCCAACTCTTTTATAAAGATGGAAAACAGAAGGACAAACGGGAACTGTAGAACTCTTCATCCTCTTAAATGAAAATATATTTTCTATGCAGCCTATGCTAATAATATTTTACGTTTCAAATAAAATTATTTTGCTTTCCTAAATTGATAATATAAAATACCTATCCTAGCAACGGATGCTGACGACGACCGCATGTTATAAAATTCAGTTATCCCACTGAAAATGAAACATCGCTTAAAACAGATTATAAAAAAAATAATCCAAACAAAAGTCAAAATTTTTCTGCCTTTTTTCAAGCCAAGTTTTTGTCATTTTTTTCAACTCGAGATCTAAATCAATACATCTAAGATCTAAATCTAATCAAACGGTGCAATTACTTTTATCAAAAAAAAGAATTGTTCTTTTATCAACTACAGCACCTTTCTCTTTCGTTTCCTTTTTCAACTATATTATCGCTATTGATACCTGAGGAATGTTTCAATTTGCAATACACCAATGGTATCCATTCATCATGCATACGTACCTATCCTATGCTCTTACATCAATAGCAGCCAGCACATGAACCACAACAGGTTTGAGGTGTACTAAATGAACACATCAGCTTAAGCATTCATTTACAATTATTCATTAACACATTCGCTTGAACGATATGTATGACGATCTATCAACAAGCCATCCAGTCGTTTCACAAATTTAAACACGTGAAAATTGAAATAAATTTCCATACATTTCTCATTCAATTTCCATGTAACATTTAGCAAAGAGGATACTCATGTGAAATAAATGGATGCTCTGATAAATGGATTCGCAAAAATTAAAAATAAATGGATTCCAACCACGAATTCGCAAAAATCACAAATCAAATATATCACTCCAGTACCTTTATGATATCAACACTTGCGATATACATTAAGACGATTCGATTTAACTTATTATTCTACCGTTAAATATGAAAGAGTATGTAGAAATAGGATAAGATTGTAATCGTATAATGAAATTTTGCACAGAATCTATTCAAAAGGATTAACAGTGCTCAATAATGTATTAAAGTCTGTCGGCACTTTTTTAACCTCTGATCTAATTTTTTGTTGAGAAAACTTCCTCTCTGTCACGCAACTTATATCACTAGCTCCGAAATCTCGTAAAATGATGCATTACAGGTAAAATTATTCACAAATCAAATATTCATATCGAAGTATGCAGAGACCTTCCAAAGTGTATTGCTAATGAAATGTAGATTAAAAACAAAACGAAGAAATGCTTAAACAGAAAAATCTGAGAATCTTTACGTTTAAATCTCTCATAAATCTTATCGCTATTGATAAAGGACAGTAATCACGAATTCACGAAAACACTATAATCGATACTATACATTACTACTTGCCTCTACCACATTCTTCTTACGATTTTTCTCTAATCTGTGTAGAAAAATATAACATTTGAGCTGACTTAGTCACAAGATATGACGAAGAAAATGGAACGGAAAAGCATTATTTTAATAAATAAGAAACCTCTGCGGTGGATTTGTATTCATTGCTTTCTGATTGCGGGTTTTCGATTGATAAGAAAGATGTGGGATTAAAGGCACTGCCGTAACCATAGGCTTTTGCCCCTGTACGGGCGGTATATTGTGATAATGATGGTGTGTAGCGGGCAAATCACCATCAGAATCCACTTTTTTCTTCCACCCTTGGTTTCCTTCTAACTGATAATAAAATCCGTTCGAAGCTGTATCCAAGTACCTGGAAGAAAAAATGTTAATTAACCCGATGACCACATTGGATACTGTTGTTATTAATACAGAGAAAGAATGAGGGAGAAGAGACAGAAGTGGAATTAATATGTTGTTTATCCATATCACTATCACCATCATCATCGCTACCAGTAACTGGATAAAAATCAACATAGAAAACGCTAAAGGGATTCAGTGTCCCTATATATATTATATATATTCACAAAGCATACAGCAGCCAACTTCAACATCAAAGCAACGAATACAATTCTCATGTCAACTGTACGTAACAAAAACCTTTGGTAACAGTGGACACTTAGTGTTATATGAGCAGTGCAATGTTAGGTTCTTTTGGCAAAGTTCCAGCAGACAATAAACGCGAAGTATTCACAGCATCGTTTTGTTGTTTCGTGACAGTGAATGACTAAACTGGAAAATGGACAAGAAAAAAAAACTTAGATCTCTTAATACAGGCATAATTCAAAGAAAAAACTAAAAAACCGTCATGAATACTGCATTTACTGCATAATACTGCATTTATATCGCCTGACCAAAGGTGATCATTCTTCGCAAATAGATGCCAACAAAGAGCTAAAGATATGTTGTAGAACGCGGAAAACAGGAAAGAATTGGACGTCACTACCTCTAACAATTCATATAAAGTATTAATTGTAATATGTTAGAAATTTCATTCTGTTAACTTCCATTCAAGACAGTGATCAATCTTTTTTAATAGATAGCGCATCTTGCTACCCATTCCATGCCTATCACTTTAACGCATTTAATTTATGCTGCGAACAACAAAGAGTAAACAGTTCCGCCTACTACAGTTATTATCATCCTGATCTTAAGAAATAATGGATTCCGGCTCCGAAATGTATTTAACGAGCTCAACAGACAAATTAAATTTCTGAAAACATAGTATATATAACAAGAATAGTAAGACAAGATGAGAGGAATAGATTCAGAAATTTAAAAGTTTTGTGTTGTTCAGTTAATAATCCTCTTCGAAAGGTGTCGGTAATCATCTTAAAAGACACAAGCCGCTCAAATACATAAAATGTCCGGAATACACTTTTTCTCTCTTAGATAATTAAAAAAACACTGAATTTGCAATGAGTACTTTCCCAAAATTGTAATAGAAGTTGACAAAAATGGAAATGTTGCTGTCACAATAATCTAGTCATCCAAAAAAGATGAAAAAATCCTGACAACAAATACGGAAAAATAAACGAGAGAAAAGAACTAAAGCATGAAGAATTTCACGACAATAACGTATATCAGAGCTCCAAAGGACGCAATGCAGAGAAGGACGAAAACAATAATGGCTAATGAGGAAGAAGAGACTCAAAAATTCGAACAAAACCCTAACAGAAGCCGCAACATACTGAATCTAGTGTAGTTGCTTGACAAGTGTGTAAAAAAACAACAGAGAGATAAAAAAAGCACATGAGATGGTGAGAGGAGGAAAAAGTACGGAAAAGACAACAAACAATGAAAAGTAAACGAGAGAAAGTGATGGTAGAACAGTGCAACAGCAACGAGTCAATCCTGTTATAACTGGTCCACCAGAAGCAATATTAAAGCAAGAATGGATGATATGAAAGCTTTAAGGAATGGACAGGTCCATATACGAGAATGATTGAAGCGTGCAATTGATCCTGATGGAAAAACGAGTTCAAACACGTCTTGCTTCTTTCACCGTTGGTACGTAGCTCCTTCCAAAGTAGCAAGAGAAGCAATGAATGGAACAAGGCTTATAGAAAACGAAAGAACATAAGGGATGACATTTTAGGTTAAATGTTCGACGTTCATCGAAGGATGTAATAGAAAAACAGATAATAGTTGACCGAATGTGAGATTGTTGTCATACGTCCTGAGTACTATTTCGCTAGACAGGCAATCAGTTAGCATTGATCATCCATCTGTCTGTCTGTCCATTTGTCAGATAGGAAGAAGTCTAACGCGGTGGATGGACATAGGCAACACTCGCGTCTCCTCCCTCTGTGTTACCAGCCAATATATTTTGTGGTACGACGAATTTCCAGGAGAAGATTGCGATCAAACAACGGGAATAGGGGAACGAGACGGTGACAATGTGTGCATGTATGACGACTCCATTGACTGCGGGAATGCAATGGTCGCTGGCTCGCAGAGTGCTCCAAACTCTCCATCCCCATCACTCAATCTCATCCTAACCTCCAAACTTTGATTCCATTTTTTTCAAATCGATTTCTCTCAATTGAAATATCTCACATGTCTAGACCACTCTACTACCACATCACTGCTTCTCTATCTGCTTTCATTAACGGCTATCACATACATATACATATATCTGCATATTTGAAGAAGTCATAACTTCAAAAAAAAGTGTTTCGGGAAATGTCTGAACAAGTTGAACCTCCGAGCCCGGCCATCAATATATGCATACAAATATCTCTGTATGTGCATAGATATTTGGTACACATCACCATCTCAATACTGCTGTTTGAGCCGAGTAACGAGTAGTACAGGCTTTCAACAACAAACGATTTAATGAAAAAAGATTGGGAACAAAATAGAAGCTTTCAACTCCCCAGATATTATAAGCACCACCAAAAGTATAAATTCATGTGCAACTGCACGCATGCATAGTGTGCGCACGCAATATAAAGCTGCAAGCTCATATTTAAACAAACACAAAATGCATGCGCAACATTCGTGTTCGTGCATACTATGCCGGATTTCTACTGAAAAATCATAAGCAGCTAGAAAACTCATTGAGGGAAACATCCATAAAATAACTCTGTGCAATCCAGCTTACAAGAAAAATTCCATTTTTATCAGCAAACTCCTGACAATGCTCCGTCCGTTGCGCCTTTCTTTGAAATATTGTTCAGTTTTTTCAAAGATAGCATACATAAGCTATGTAGATTACTTTTATAAATTTCACTCATCCATAAATTCCTAACACTTACTGAAGTTCATGAAATACATAATTTAAAAACAAGCTAACCCAGTTTCATCTATTACAGATATAAATCTGAAAAGAACGAAAACAAAATGGATTAAACCGTTTTGTGTCAGCCTAACATGTTATGAAGTCTTCTAGGAGCTCATATCAAATTTCATTTTAAAAATTACATTAATGCAGGTAGGACTAGTAATGTCATACTTAGTAAATAATCGACTGTGACAGTTTACGCTGGTAACATTATGGGTGGATAATTAATCAAATTTCTTTAAAATAAGCCTAAATCGATTATTGAATGCAGATGGATGCTGCAATTAGTCCGTAAACAGAAATATATAGAGTATTGCTCTGATCTATATCTATCTATCTATCTATCATTTATCCATCACCTATCTATCCATCTATCCCATATTATCTTATCTATCCTATCTTATCTATCTCATCCTATCTCTCATATCCTATCTGTCTTATCTTATCTGTCTTATCTATCTTATCTTATCTGTCTTATCTATCTATCTTACCTATCTACCTATCTTATCTATCTATCTTACCTGTCTACCTATCTTACCTATCTATCTACCTATCTTATCTATCTATCTATCTTATCTATCTATCTTATCTGTCTACCTATCTTATCTATCTATCTGTCTATCTATCTTATCTACCTATCTATCTTATCTATCTATCTATCTATCTGTCTATCTATCTACCTAATCTATCTTATCTATCTATCTTATCTATCTTATTTATCTATCTATCTATCTATCTATCTATCTATCTATCTATCTAATCTATCTAATCTATCTAACCTATCTAATCTATCTAATCTATCTAATATAACATATGCTGTCGAACATCTCATATAAATCGGGATAAAATATCCACAATATACAAATAAATCATTTTAATATACGGCATTTCATTATTTCCTACGAGGTCTGAAAATATGCGATGAACATACCATTCCGAGCAAGAGTAAAAAGTAATATATAATCAGTGATACTTTAATAGAAATATCGCATATCATTATTAATTTGAAATTCATTTTAAAAGAGGATAGGAAAAGATTCAGTACGAAGTGTAAGAAGACATAGGAGTTTTTTGCGATGGCTATGGCACCTAAGTAGGCAAAAGAAACAAAAAGGAAAGAGAAACAGAGATATGTGGAACTGAATAAAGGATAATATGGATACATTATACTATCATTTTTTTTCATCCTATCTTTCAAAAGCTGACATCGAAAGGATGTATTGGTATTGAAGCAACAAGTCCGTTCGCTGCAAACTACGATTCGGACATTGATGTTTCCTGACTTTCTCGTCTTTCTTTTCAATTAAATTTCATCATCCAGTTCGACTACTATTAATGCCTTGAAAACATAAAATCAGGTTAGAATTTAAAGATATAAGCTGTTACTGTAAGTGAGCGCGTTGGAACAACATCAGCAGGCGGCACACAACGCAACATCTTACCAATAGTCTTCCTCAGCGTATTCCTCACTGACGGTAGCACATTCAGGACTGTATATCAGTGCCGGTGCAATGCATGATAACGGTTGTGCACAACCCAATAAAGACGCAGGCGCTAATGCTTGTGCGATCTTTGAGGCACTTTCGGTCGTTGAAGCAGGATCGGTGATGATCCCGTGAGATGGGTTGCTGTGTTCTTTTACTGTCTGCTGTTTCGCGAAGCTCGGACCTCTCCTGTTAGAGTATTTCATTATACTTTAACAGAACTGCTTCATGTTGAACATTTGTTGACATTTCGTCCTGACCATCGGAAATGGCACATTGAATAAATAACTCACACAAAATTTCTTTCCTCTCGAATTATGCTGCGTATCATAAATCACACTATCAGATAGGAAAGATTTACGTTATCTATAAAAAGACCGCGAGAGCACGATGATAACAGCTGCTGAATGAGACAACCGATCTGTTACGCAAAGAGATCAATAACATAAAAAGGTATTAATTAGATTGATTAAGTAATTTCGAAGAACAATGAAATCTTGGCAACCAGTATGTAGAATGGACTAGCTAAATATGAAATTTATAATTACAAAATCAACTCAAAAGAAAATTGCAAGAAAACTTATGCACTCCGAAGATTTCAGAAAAAGTACATGTACTTCAGCAAGCCCACTTTCATATTTAATCACTGGAAAACAAATGAAAAGGAAAAAGTAAAAATGCAATGAAAGACCCCAGAAAAAACCATCGATTTAAAAAAATATCGGCAGTTCACCACAATAAAACTGTCTATTTGTTAAGGAGTATTAAGAAGTATGTGCATCACTTCTACACACGGGGAATTCACCTATCACAAGAAACTGAAGAGTTGCCTTTTCCAAGAGAATGAAGAGTTTAACATGTAAATTAGCATTTTCATTAAGAAAAAAGAAAAAGAGTCCCAAAATTTCGCAAAGATGGCCTGCCGATTAAAATGTAAATAATGAATGAAACTCTTGCTCGGAAAATTATTTCTTTTGTTTACAACCAAGTGAAAGGATGATCTAAAAACCTGTTTTTTTGTGGATGATCACTCTTGCTATTTGGTCCATTATTGCCGCGTCTTCCTTGTCCTTCTCGTCCTGTATAATCCACATCAATGTCCAACTTCTTCCATGTTTTGCCGCTTTTGTTACTTTTTCCTCCACTTCCATTACTTTCATTTTCTTTATCTCTATCTTGTTTCATATCCTGAAGTATTCCCAATTATCGACAAGCTTCAAAGTTACTCAAAATCTTACGAAATTATAAACAACAAAAATGAACCAGTTTAAAAATAACAGAAAGTAATTGCTGCAATCACCAGGAATCAATAATTGTTTAACATCCAAAACATCGTTTGGAAATAAGATTTTTTTTTATTTTTTATTTTTTTATTGTTTATTTTTTTTATTTCCAAACCTAAAAATATTATGTGACAAAGATTTGTTTAAGAAGAAATCATGGAAACGATAAACTGGATAAGGAAACATATGCTAAGAGTGAAAAGGATATCAACTTGAAACAGTAGTGCTTCGTTCTAACAAGAAAGCAAAAATACCCTATAACATACCGCTTCTGAACTATCAGCGATTTTCACCACTTCGTGGCTGGATATCATTATACTCCCTCTCGCACTATTTATCACGCTGTCCGGTTTCAGTTCTTCATTGACGGCTTCATTCAGTGATGGCCAAGCTTTGTCATCCACATTCGTTGTCTTAAAAGCATAAAATTTGATTGAATTCTATTAGCAGTATAGAAAAAAGTGGAATACAAAAAATTCGCACAAGCAAAGCTTGCGAATTTTACACATATTTCAAAACTTATACAAATCAAACTGATCTAAGCTAACCTATGAAGTTCACTTTAAAAATCGCTGTCTGTATAAGAAAATTGTTGAAATACATGATGCTCAGCAAGCTAAAAACAATACGATAGCGCAAAAAATTTGACCGGCATTCCAGGAAAGGGATTAACTACATCCTTAGGAAGGGGCCGATTTCTTGAATACAAAAGTAATATTAAAAAACTAACCTCTTGAATACATATAAAATGCAGATGATAGCTAACTTTCGATGTTATATTAAAAATTGAAATATCTCAAAAAATTACGGACAAAAATGAAAAAGTATTAGTAACATGCTTTATGTGCTGGTTTTTGCCTATGAGGTGATCTGAATGCCAGCAAGCTTATAAATACATGCCCAACTGTTGACAGCATGAGCTTTGCTAATTACATGCATTTGTGGGAAACAGGTCTTCATCACCAATGACTGTATGAAGAATTGGGGAAAGTGAGAAAGGAATGGATGGAGTAGGACGGATAAAAATCGGGATATGACGATTTCTATGCACTCGCATTGCGAGAGCAGCTTTAACATCAGAACACAGAATTTCGACAATATCACATTAGCTCTGTAATGGATACGTACTTCGGCGTCAAGCTGCTCTCCCTGTTTTGTTTGACCCGAGTGAGAAGGTTTTGCCATTTTCTTCGAATTATTTCCACTTGTGAATGTTAGCGTTTCTTGCGCCACTAACTGAATAAACGAAATTAATAATGAACATTTTAGAAAGTGCACGTGATTAGTATAGAAATACCAAATAGGCAAGTGTAGCCAACCATGCTAAGGGTACCATAACGGATCTGTAATTATCACGCCAGAAGGGAACAGGAAAAGCTCACATCTGTAGGATGGAATACATTTCCATCGAATATAATTCTTATTGCAAAAATTACGGATAAGTTCATAAGTGAAAAAATTCTCAATAAATTTTTCTTGTTCCATTTATTTAGATTCATTATCAATTAAGTCGACAGTTGCCTGTCGCAAAAGTCAATATTTTTCAAAATATAACATGCTATATAATTTTGATGTATCGGACAAAATTAAATGAACACGAGATAAGGCGGCATAACTGAAGCAATTTTATGAAAAAAGAAATCAAAAGTTGAATGATTATTAGAATCCATCCACTATAGTGAAGAATTAATCTTTAATCAGACCTGACATTTTTTTTCTGGCGAGACTAAACAAGTCAAGTTGCACAATGTTAATGACCCCGATGAAGCATCCCTTACCTCTGCCGTTTCCGAATACGGTTTAACCAGTGGATGACCAATTGAAATAAGTTTGCCGACTTAATATTAAAACAAACCTTAATAACATTGTCCTTATCATCCTCCGTTGTTTTCAAAGATAGTGATATTTCCTGTGAATTGGCTTCTTCTTTTACTGAAGATATTTGAGAATTCAATCCACCACCTTCCTTTGACTCTTTTACTTCTAAAACACACAAACTTTTGAATTTTCCCCTTGACAATAATTATTAATACTTTCAATATTGAAATTACTTCTCGCTTTGAAATAAAAGATGAGGAAAATGAGTTGAAACTGTAATTAATATAACAAAGAAAAACAAGGCGCAACACATCTGATTTAATATAACCTGTTGTATTTGAAAAAGTAATAACTGCAGCTTAACTGATGTAATTAGCATGATAAAATGCAAAAAATATATAGCGTAGAAATAACAGCTGTTAAGACTGACTTGAATCGGAGTATTTTTTTCACAAATCATCAACAGACCGAGAAAGAAAAAAGCGAAAGAACTTAGCCCACCTGCTGTGGATTGTTTGAACCAGGCATTTACCGTTGGAAGTGGAGCGGGACCTAACACTACTTCAGGCTGTTGATCCGTATGTGTTTCACTTTCTTCCTTATCTGCTGATAGCACGCTGTCATCCTAGAAAAAAAAGGTAATTGCCGAACAGAAGCTTAATTTTTAGTTTGCGAGCTTAATTTTTAACAACAATTTTCTTCATTTGTGAGCATTACTTTCAGACCTTAGGAAATAAGTTTACGGTGATGCACATAGAATGCAAAATGAACCTTTACATTGCATTATTTTTTAAATTACAATTCTTATTTTCATATTTTTTTTTAAATTACAATTCTTATTAGTGTGCACTATAAAATGAAATATATAAGAAAAAGCAAAACCGAGTGACATTTTTCAAAATAACCTTTCGTAAACGATCGGTTTTGGGACGCGGTTTGTTACGCCGCTGAACTTGTTGATAATACTGATTTTGCTGGTGTTGTCCAAACTGTATCGGATGTTGAACATGAGCATTACCGTCCGAATCCGGTTTTCGTTCCTCAACAAATCGTTGATGTAAACCGTCTTTATTCTTACCCAAAGAGTTCGGGACAGATGGCATGGTTACACTATATAAATCTGCGAGTGTAGTACCACTAATGTGATTTCCTGATTCCATCGCAATGATGCTTACATCCGTGCTTTCACCGCTTGCCGTTTCAGAAATAGTAGTAGTATCAGTAACAGTAGCAGCAGCAGCAGTAGCAGTAGTAGTAATAGTAGCAGTAGCAGTAGTAGCAGCAGCAACAACAGTAGTAGTAATGGTACTAGTAGCAGTAGAAGTAGTTGAAGCAATCGCGGTAGTGACAGGGACTTGCGTTATTGTAACACTTCCACTGCCAGTACCGTTCGTATCGATAGTTCCGGATACAATCCGAGCAAATGTTAATTGTGGCTTATTCGCCATAAAAAAAATCGGGAGTAATACTTCGCTGAGAACGACTTCAAACCTAAATCTGAAATCGAAAGATTGAGTAACATGAAAATCCATTAAATAACATTACATTAACGTATTAACGTATTCACCAACGTATGCTTTCTCTAAACTGTTTTGAAAGTTTTCTTATGTACTCAATAAGTACAAATCACTCTATTCTTTGCATAATACGTTAGTAAACAAAAAGAAGCAGGAAACAAGAAAATACCATTCTAATAATTCCTTTTGAGAATCTGATGTCAGAAATAAACGGAAACGTACGTGACGCAAACGAAAAGAAAAAAATTGTTTCCGCATCATCTGTAGAAAATGACACAAATCAGTGGTTACTTCCTACGCTAAACTATTCGGTCAGCGATCACTCAACTAAATGTCAACTTTAAAATCATACCGCTTAATCTTGTGGTTATCGGCTTTAAATTATACCGCTTAATCTTGTGGTTATCGGCATTTCATGACAACATATGTGCAACACATGTATCAATAAGTGTATATAATGCAAATTACAACACGTACCACAACAGCAGTGATACGAATTTTGAAAAGCAGAAGTACGATAACAAACAGCAAAAATTTCCACAAAAACAATCATTACTTCATACCTTCCCCATCCCTCTCCTTCCTCTCTTTCCTCATTCCTCTCTAATCTTCTCTCCGCCAAGCATTTCTTCCCTTCACCTGTCTTTTCCCATCATCCGTATCCGTTCTCTATATAATAAATTTATCATTACTTATCATTACTCATTGCTGCCAAGATTAAAAGTACCTTACGTCAGATTCCCTGCCCGAATTCCCTACACCCAAGTGATAGTTACAAAATAATCTCCGTGTCTTCTGTGGAATGAAAACGAAAGTTGCATAATGTAACTCTATATAGGCGGCCAGCATCATGAAGAAAACGTAAGAAGCGTGAGATAAATGAAATTAATAGATGTTTAGGATGAGACTTATTGAGCTCACTATTACCATGACTTCCCGAATATATCCAAAACGTACCTAATCACAAATAACCCATCTCTCTCTAACACACCGAACACAAGCCACTTATCATTTCCTGCTGTTTCATAACATACCCACCCGTCCTTCCCCATTTTTTTTGTGTCCATAAAGACGGCTCTGCACAGCGTCCTTCCTGTAGTAGGGCGGGCGTCGTGAAAACCTACACACATACACACATAGATACACATATATGATATACACGAAAGCTACATACAGACCGTTGACACTCACCAAACACACGCATGAAAGCATGTATATACAACGTACGTACACACCAATACCTGTAGAGAATAACATAGACAATCCAAGCTGTAATAGGTGGTTGGTTATTGAGATTTGGCAAGATGCCCAAAATATTATGGTAACTGAGAGGTTGGAAATGAACGATAGGTAGCGCCAAGGAAGCGAGAGTTGGGATCGCGGTGCGATTTGAAATGAATATAGTAGTTGGGAGGTTATGAAAAGTTAGCAGAAGAACTCGGTCTTTACAATTTTCAAGATTCTTGAAAATTGTGAAGACCGAGTCTTTTGTCATGTGTACCAATGTTGGAAGAAATTTTGCACTTATGAATTCTCACAAAACCTCATCGTCCATAAATTCTATAGCCTTTAAAGACCCGTAACCTTGATAAACTTCCCCTTTTTACTTCTCTCTTTAAGCGAACTATATTCTATTAACTCAGCAATACCTCACAAAACAACATCCGTTACACCAGTTGTATAGCATCGATAACAATGACAGTCGAAAGAGTAATTAGCAACATTCCTTCATCCTCGTTTGACTTGTATCAGCATTGGGAGAAAATGTATTGGAAACATGGGAATGGACGTGCGAGCACATTAATTTTTCATTAAGCCACTGGTCATTTTTTAATTATAGTTCTTATCATTGAACACCAACCGCTAAGTGGTAATTTGCTATTATTGGATTTATCGATGCATGCCTCGAAATAAAGATGAAATTTATATCTACATCGGGATTAACTGAAAATTATCATGGTAGTAATTGAAATCCATCTCAACACCGACATGCTTATGCCATATGAACTTGTTACCGAAGACTTGTATTGTAGTACGCCTACTCTAACAGTCCTACTAATACGAATATAGAACGTGTCATTATATGGCATAAGTATGTCAGTGTGGATATCACCGCTATTTGAGTGTTAACTATCCATAAAGCCTTGAAATCAGATAGATAGTGATCAAGTCGAAACCCAATAATAGCTACAGATTATTGGTTAAATTAATCGGTCGAGAACCACATTATGAAAGTTTTCACATTAATTTCGATAAAATTATTCTTTTTCAAGAACATGGAGTAATGCACTGTCATGTGATAAAATCGTATCATACAAATTGAAGCAGGAATGACTCACTGATAACACATGGTATTTTATCGAATAAATGCAATCACTTGGAGATCTTACGGATGATATTTACTTAGATATTTTCTTATTGATAGTCTTGATTCAGCTCTTACCGAAATTCCTAATTAGATGTGTTTCTGGTAATAATATATTTGATGTTATCGAGAAAAATTGAAAAAAAATAGGGAATTTAAGCCGTAACTACAACTTTTGTTTCTGCAACGGTTTACTATCGTATTAATGAGCATTATAATTTGAAAACCATTGAGGGTAAACGGCTTTCCAAAATTTTGAGATGGACAGATGAGTTTACATAAAGCCTCGTTTCCGTCTAAAGTGTTTTTTAGGGACAGGATTTTCAGCAAATTTCACAGGTGATGCCAGCGTTCAGTTCTTGAGCTGCCTGCTTCCATACTTTTTGATCCTCCGTTATCCAGTACCTATAATGAAGACCCTATTAATGCATGCTTTTACATTACATTTCAAACTTAATGAATCAAATTAAGCAAGAATACTATTTATGACATGCCTAATATTGTTTTCAAGACCATCAGTTATTGTCGACCATTTGGGAATTGATTCACAGTCCGGTATATTCAAACACATATCGAATATATCTTCCAGTAATTCTCGTTGGGGCCAGCGTCTGCAAAAAAAATAGTGCTTACATCAACATTACGCCTATTCACTTTCTCTTTTCTACGATATTAAGCAAAAAAGCTTTTTATCGATGGATATGGTATGAGATGAATGAATGTTTGGTGTATGAACAAGGCTTGCTTAGTAATCAAAATTCAATTTAAAATAAAAAGTTATCGGATTGTAACTATCGCTATAAAGAGACAGATGAAACCAAAAACTATTGGAATTACGATGCAAATCGCACTAGATACCCAATAATTATTATTATTTCTTCCATGCCAATGATAATGTTCGAGAAATCTCGTGCTTAACACAAAAAATAAGGAATAACTTCATTACTTTTTGAGGATTCAAATTAAGAATGTGTAGCTAAACCTTTTCATCACAGATGTTGCACTATATCGTCCGGCGCTATTTCGATACGTCTTCATATACTTTCCATATATTATAACATGAAGCGTTGAAATAAAACCATAGAAATCTGTTTGGTATGTCCATGGCCGACCATCCTCAATTTCTTATATGAATGATTTGAAATAGTGATATTGCTTGTTAGGTCAGGATTATGTTGGTGTAAAAGCTGCCCAAAAATATATAGTGGTTTGCCAAAAGTAAAACCTTACCTGCATTTCAGAACAATCGAAAGCGACAGTGCCTGCCTTTCCTCGGAATGTGTGTTCTTTCAAGAAATTCATATCAATGGCACGTCCCCAATCAATCAGTTTCAATGTGAAGGATTTCTTGTCAAAAATTTGTTCTAATGTGGCATCTTCGTTTAACCTGAGGAATCACAAAGTTACATAAAACATGATGAAAATTTATATATTCATAAGAAAATTAACCGGCGAAGAATCATGAAGTTATCAGGTTTAACATCGCCGTGTATTATTTGGGCATTATGAACTGCTTCCAATATTCGACCAATCTCCCAGGCGAGGTAAACCGTCAAAAGACCTGAGCACGAGATATTCTTGGCTTGTAACTTATTTATCATATCCTGAAAGGTAACACGCATTACGGAAATCAAATTAAAAAGATACAAAATATATTCAAGCTTTGCAAAATAAATTAAAAATTTATACTTCAGAAACTGGCAACAGTTACGATGAGATTATGCGAAGACATACGAAGTTCATGGAAACGGAAGAAACTCACAAGGAGATTCCCGTGCTTGTGATACTCATAAACAATAGCACTTGCATTAGAAAACAAATATGCATCGCGGATATTCATTATACCATCCAACATCCCTTTTGGCATTCGAATACGCAATGTTTCACAAGCATAAACTTCCCATCTACACGGCGGCATTTCAAACTACAATAAATTGACGGAAATGTTGCAATGGACAAAAAAATCTATGAATGGAAATATTCAGATGAACTTCTGATTATTTTATCCTTTTTTTATAATCGAAAATCTTATAAGCTAAAGTCATTTAAACCAAAGCCATTGTTCTCCAGATTCTTTCACAAGACCTAATAAATACAGGGGAAAAATACCTTCACTGCATAACAGTTGCCGTCTTCTGATTTGCTCTTGTAAACTCTAGCAAAACCACCTTCGCCGATCAGACATTCAATATCAAAACGTTCACCTCCTAAAACTACAGCAGCACCAGGACTGAAGCGATTGCATCTTTCCTGTAAAAGAAATTAACTTTCTCTCTTTCATTGCAGAAGTTTTTAAAGTTAAAAATCTTTAAATAATAATGAACCATATATCAAATACATAAAGATTGAAAGCGACATATAAGCATTTTACATCCATATATAGTGTGAATTACCGGGAAGTCATGAAGATTCGCCGGGCAGAAACGTTGGCTGGCCATAATTTTGTCTTGCAATTTTCCATCCCAAGGATTTATTTCGGATTCAGTGTGTGATCTATAATGAGTTTATTCCCTTCTGATGTAATATTTCCATGAATAAACTACCAGTTTTATGAGTAGCGTTATCCATATTACTTTTCAAAAAAACACCTGAAAAGATACACGCTAACCTCAATCCTTCATGAGTAATTTCATTTGGAGCAATCGACAGTCGACGTAATCCTTCATTGATACTGTTGCTAACAGCCGGTCCCGTTTTCTTATATTCAATAATATTCTCAATACCAATTTTTTGTGACAATTTTGTCAAAGTATCCCGGCGCTGCTACAAATGAATTGCCGATGAAATCGACAGATTTAAAGTAAAAATTTTTATTCCTTCCAACGTCGCACTCATCCTACTGTAATCGTTTTCACAAAAAATAAAGAAATTAAATCAAAAACAAACTTCGGACATACTCATTCGTCTACCAAATGCAGTATTTGCAATGATAGCTTCATCAAACATCGGTTTTTGGAAAAAAGGATCAGCTGCGTTCGAAGGAAGTGGACGAAACGATTCTAAATGTACATAAAATTGCATTAGTTACAAAGAGCCCATGCCGAATGAATGATATCAACTAACCCTCAATGGGATCTTCGATTGGAGGTGCAACACCATTTGCTGGTGTCGATGTCACTGCTCTTGTTTTAGCCATTTTGTTTAAACCAGCCAATGTTTCCTCATCAATACGATCAGAGAGAGGAGGTTTCATTTCTAAAAAATCCAATAATATGGAGATTAAAATTCATTTTTAAGCTTCAGACTTCAAGAAACTCTCGCGTGGATGCCATTAAAAGGAAACTGAAATACTGGGACTAGCCTCCACACTTCCGCTTTTCTACCTCTGTCAGTATTTCGTTATCGTGTTCAAGTGACGTAGTTTCAGTTTTCTCCAAAATTGATGGACGACGAAGATGAGCAGTTATCGAAGGCTGTGGCTGTAAAAGCGCATTTAAAAAATTTCAATATAATGTAAATATAAATAAAGCGTAGAAACCGCTTTTGATTCTCTTGGTCACCGATTCTTACTGAAAGTTTGAAGATTTCTTTTTACATCATATATTTCTTTCATCTTTTCTGTTTCTACTACTATTTTGTATAATGGTGCTAAATGACTGATAGTATCGTTTAAAGTGGTAAACAATTGAATGAATAAACCAAACCACATCATGAACTACTAGAAAACTTAAAATTACCAGGACAACCATTAGAAGATCTTGCAAACAATCAGAGTTAACAACTTGTTAACATGAATTTATCCCACTTCTTGTATTGCCGAAATGGAGAAGCATTAACAAACTAATGTAAATCTATGCTACCAGCAGACAAGAATTTGTTTCTTCTCTCTAAAATTACATAAATACTAGGCAGCAAATGGTTCACTTTTCTGAATGCTGACTGAGATTCGTAGGTATCGTCATCATGGATGTCTATATTCTTTTGATAGTCCAAATCCAGTTCGGTGTTTAATCTACAACATCACATTGTACAAACATCACATTCATGTGCTTCATAAATGTGACAACAAAATGCGAACCTTTTTTCTGAAGCATCTGAAGATGATATGATATTCTCATTGCTATAAATAGCAAATGGTTCGGTTTGCTTTACTGGTTCGATTTCTTCCACGTAAACCTATAGAAAAACAAGATTTTTAAAAAGAAATTAAAGTAAATTGGATATCTCAATATTATAATGTTGAATATTGCAGTAAAACTGCAAGAATTACTTCAAACTTAGTTTTTTTTGCAGCAGAAAGAAAATGGGCCTGTACACTTTCATTTTGAATTGTTTCTTGCAACACTGTCGTTTCATCTGTTTCGTGATGCACTATAACGAATTGAATCGATAATTTAATGCATGACGAGCTTATTTTAAAGTTGACATTGGAATATAAATCTCCAACAATATTATATTTCAAGATTTGGACATTATTTTCGTGTAAGACTATAAATCATTGATTTGATATTAACTTTAAACGTTTTATAATAAAAATTGTTATTCTATCAAAAAAATTAATACCTGAACGCGGAGGTGGAACTGGTACTGTGCTTGAAAAATCGCGCATCGCCTTACTCAGAAATTTCTCTGTGAACGAAGTACCATGAAGTGTGAAGTGAGAAGATTGTGGACATTCTGCAACTATTAAGCTTCTCAAAGCATCGAGAAACAAAGATAACTACTGAATTATAGGTTGAAAACCTACCAGATGGTTTATCAGTAAGGACGTCTGTCTCCACGAGAATGTTATTTTCAGCATCAGCATTGCCAGCTAATACAAATGGGTCATCAACCGTATCACCTGCTGACGGTTGTGCTGACTTCATCAATTCTACATTGTTGGATGGATTCAGGGAACCACTGGCGCAACCACTTCGTTCTTCGCTTATAGCCGACAGTTTCGAAATTGACATTCTGCTGGAATGTCTATTCCTTTACTGACGACAGGCAATAATAAATTTACATTTAAAATTTGGAAACAGTTTCTGATCTTGCTATTTTAGATAGCAGTACAGATATAATTTCTTTTGATATATCCAGCTCAACTGCTCCAGAAATTTTCTTTTAAATCACCAACCTCCGGGGTACATCCAAATGAACGGTATAATTTCTTGTTTCGGCGAATATTTCCTCAACTGATTGTTGCTCATCGATTATTTTCAAATGGCTTTTTACTCTAGAAGGATAAGTCAATTTTGCTGAGCGCCCTTCAGGTGCTTTCTGTTCCATGCTACAATTCAGAATACATATCAAACCAACTTTTTCCGCGTTTATATACCGAAAAACAAACAGATCAAAAGACTTACGGTGTTGCCTCAACAACTCCCATTTTTGAATCTTTTGACAAATCTGAAAAATGAAGTATAACAATCAGTGTCCTTATGAAGCAAAAATAGTAAAATTCCGATAGTTGTTCGCTTACAATAGTTAAAAAAATACCCGGTTTCTTGAACAGATTTACAGTCATTTCATCATCCATTTCAAAGTATTGATAAAGCATGGCCCTGAAATTTCATTACAATCCATTATTATGGTCGGTAAACAAAGAGATAGTAGATTTCGATGAAACCTTACAAATAAACAGTCTTCTTTTGGGAGAATTACTACGAATGATGTATCTGCAAAATAAATGTTCCATTGAATACGGATTCGATCGTAATGTATTGCATAAAATTTGCAAGATACTACATTACAAACCTATGCTGAGTACAAAACAATGTTTTCACCTAAAAGCTTCATCAACTCGTGATATAGGCTTTGCATTTGCTTTTACGGCCTCATTCCATATTTCGTTAAAACGTTCTTTGTTCCTTTCTTCTGCAAAAATCTGAAACGAATATTTAAGCTTTAATTAAACGCTATCATCTTTAGTGCAATTGGAAAAAGTTAATTCTTTACCTCTCCCCATTTGACGTAAAACTCTGCCAGTTCATAAAATTGCTTCCGATTGTGTAACTCTTCCATCACTAATTTCATCCCCATTGTGCGACTTAATTTCCCCTAAATTTAGTCTTGTAACAGCATTTGAGGCGTTTATTTTAAGAAAATCTTTAATAAGTACGAAGTCAGATTCTAGCAAGTAATTCAACACTTAGCTTACAAGAAATACACTTGGTAAATTGATACAGTATCAGTACCTATTCAATTTATTCAATTAAAATCGCTGGTAACTAATTATCATAATCAAGATCTTACCCTCTAGCTGGCATAGTTACAACTGTATCATTTCTCAGAGAAGCACTAGACTAGCTGCAGCAAGAAAAACCTCTAAAGCATATTGTGCGTTTTGAAATTTAGCAGTATTGCTTTGGTAAACTACCGATTTCACTTAAACCAGTTAATTATAATTACTTACAACAATACAGAAAACATATAACAATCGTTCGTCGTTATAGAAGGGGTTACTTTCCACAGAATATCGCAATACCGTCTCCATGGCGGCTTTTCGCAGACGATGATGACTTTCTTCATCGTCGAAATTTTTCTCCATCCATTTCAACTGGCTAAAATTAAAGAAATACGAAGACTAGCTAGTGATGTGGTTCCAAAGATAACTCATCATCACAGTCAACTCATCACAATACTGATGTCATGATTTTACATAGAAAGTTTAACTATACATCAATTACGGAATGCAAAACTTGAGACACTAGCAATTTAAAATTGCAACATACTTCAAGACGTAATCCAATTGTTTCGTTTCTGGTAACGTCCTGAAATCACCCAGTAACATAATCTTTCGTAATTTCTAGTTTTCAAATCCAAACTTTTGTTGAGAATGACTTAGTTAATGTATTCCCATTTATTATAACTATTAATCTATGTTTTGCGTATGTCATTTTACAACTAATTAAGAATATACTTGATGCTTAATTGACAATGAAAACAGAAGTTATTCAAGAACTGACTGAAATTTATACGGTCTAAAGTTTTAAATTACAAACAATTAAAAATTAATTAAAAATAGCTCGATTAAAAAACCACTCATTTACTACAAAGTTAATTAAAAATGAAAAAATTGATAGAGGAGAAGTAAAGAGATAAGAATACTTACTTAACGAAGGATGGCAGCGATTCAAAAAATCCTATAACCATCGATTTTGATTGATTCTTCTTCTTTCAGCAATCGACCGATCGAACGATGGCACGTAGAATGACTGAATGTCCAAAAGACAGAATAATAGAATAAATAGACCACGCTCCAAACTACTCACTTAAGCAAGCGTAATAAACCTCTACTTAAAATCTGGCGCCAAAATTTTAAAAAAATCGCTCGTAGCAATTTGTGAGACAATATGAAAATCGAGGACAACGTGGACTGTTCTGACTGAGAATTCGAAGATCCTGGGATATCTAGAGATGCCGAAAGGACAGTATGATTTTACGCTGTATGAATGAAGAGAATGCGTTGCTTATATGACATCGCAATGTTCAAAATAGTTTACAAACTTATTACTATGCAATATCCAAGTTTTCCACGACATGTATTTAGATCCGTGGATACAGTAGAACCATTGCACGTAAAATACTACGATAGCATCTCAAGTTAGATAGCATGTTTATATCGGGTAATTGTTGTATAACATCCGAATGAAGCCATAGTGGACGGTATGATTCATGCCATAGTAAATGGCACAAAATGTCTATCATTTATTGTTGATTCTCCGAAGGGGATTCTTTCAGGAACGAAGCTTCATAAAAGTCTTTTTCTTGTTTTTCCAAATTGTCTTATGATGTTTGCATAACACAGACAATTAACATAACACGTAGAGAATCACATGAATTACTTTGGTAAGATGCGACAATATGTGGCGCAGTGATACTGCCGTAAATTAACGATCATACCTTAACGATGGAAAAGTGGTGTAGAAAAGGAACATTAAACTCAAACCTTTTTAGTGACAAGAAAAGACATATACGGTTGGGAATGAGATTACTTCCGAATCAATTATGATAAATAATAAAATAACGTATGATGCTTGAGTTCTGACATGTGTATTAACCTATAATTCGAATGGCATCGAAATATATTACATTAAAATGTTATTCTTATAATATAGAATTGTGTAACCTTTAAGTGTTTGACTTTTTAGATTTGAAATGTACTTGACAAAAAAATTTACACGCGTCATGATGTATATAATGCCAAAATATCGTTTATTAGAATGTATTAGTATGGAAACGCTAATATCAAAAGCTAAAGCGGCATACACTAGAGTTCAATAGTCGTTGGATATAAGAGAGAAATGACTTAGTTAAGAAGGTGTCATGAAGCAAAGGAAGTTAACGATTGATATCGATGACAAATGAAGAAAATTGATATTTTTAAAATGAACATTCAATAGCTCATTATAGATGAACAGTACTTGAGCAATTACACATTTCAGTTAAGTTTGTATCGATGAGAATTAGTCGATCATCCAAAGGTACATCTCGAATCCTAAAGCATCCACCGTCACTTCGTAGGTTTGCATCATTGTAATGACAAGATTCGCTAAAACTATAATTCGACAGATTTGTTGGACATCTGAAAATATTTCTGTTTTCACATTTTTCTCCTTTAATTAGAAATTTATTTTGTAGTAATAAATTATGAAATTGCGTATTGTCTTCCGTATCCGGTAAATAAGTGTGCAGAGAAAGAAGTCCAAAATTTTTTCTTCTCAGTAACAGCAGAAAAAATTTTTCGTCCATTATTTAACGATATTTTTACTAACAAGTAAGTATTGCATGGTGCACTATCAACTTGATAGGCTAAATTTGCAGGACATTCTGGTTTTCCGCCATTTCGAGCTTGTACAATGGAACTTTTGTTCACTTTGCGAATACGCCGTGGGTAATCTTGTCCAAAAACTCGACACGTAGATGAGCAATCAGACCATTCAAGGTAAGTAAAAAGACACGGAAATTTCATTATTCCCGCAGTACTTCGTATCTATAACATCTTTTTAAATTAAATTTAATCAAAATTCAAACATAGTTGTGAGTTTTTAATTAATTAAATGTTGCTGTTTAATAACATAACTGTTTCATACCTAATGTCATATGATATTAAAGCAAAATAATAAATTTTTTCAATTAAACGATTTCTTCTTTAACATTCTGCATAATAGAGACAAATTAAAAAGTTGTCAATGAAAAGAAAAATGTATAGGAATGGTCTTCAAAATTTTATCAAGTTAAAAGATTTTTTTATAATAGAGTAGTTTTTCCAACCATAAATTAGTAATGCAGAGTGGATAGTTTTGCAATAGAATTGGAAAATTAATAAAATTGCTTTTAAAAGAAATATATCTTACCAAAAGTAAAGAAAAAAACAGAAACAAGATTATTAATAATAAATTATCAAAGAATTGAAAACAAATGTACGTGGCACTTGTATTAATGTTATGATACATAATATAAATAAGGTATACTTACGTGAGCGCTAAGAACGATGCTCCAGATCATAAACGTGATCAATATGAGTAACAAGAGCATGTTAATAATTGTTGCGAAGGAATTAATTATTAGCATTAAACGAACTTTCTTATTGCGTATAAATGGTGAGATTTGCTGTAAATATCATGGCATAACTGATACATTGAGGATGTGTTTTGAAAAGTTTAAATTTTTTTTATAAAGGAAATATCAAAAGACAAACATAAATTAAAGTTGGAAGACGAGTGGACTTGATTGATTTACTCATTGTCCCTTCGAATTCGCTGACATCTGAGAGCTGCAACAAAATAATGAGTTTAAAATATTTAATAATTGTTACTTCTTTTTAAACGCAATACTCGTTTGACAATAAAGTCAGACTTCTTAAAATGCTTGAATTTATCAGAATTCTCAGACACCTCTTCCGTAGCTTCTCCAGCCGAAACATTGAACATCTTGGGTGCTTGTTCGCTCACTTGTTCAACATCGGTAATTGATGGTACTGGACTGTTCTCATTTTGCATTACTTTTGCCTAAATTGCTGTTATTGGTTTTATACCCTAAATTTCTATTTTCCGACTATTGTTTGATTTGAAACATTACAACAAAATTTTATTTTGAATTATTTCAAGAATAACCACCAGTGCATCAATCAATGGTTATTCGATATTTCGGGAAATTCCACCATTTCACCGTTTTTTCTTTTCCACTAACGGCATAGTATTATATTAATAAATATTCGAGTACTATAAATAGTTCAATCAATGAAAGACACTCTCTCTGTGCCAATAGCCGTTAAAAGGACTTGACCAATTCTTCGTTTTCGCAAAAACGCGTGTGTTACTATTTCGTATAACAAAATTAAAGCTCCTAGTAGTTTAATTAATCAAATAACCTGTTGAATATGAAATGAGAACGCGAAAAGTTACCTGCGCTGAGAGATTTATTTTTTCGCGTTTGGGAGGCAAATCCTTTTTTGGTTGATTTAATTGTTCCGAAGCCAAAGCTCCTGTTTGTGAAGGTGAACTTGAGAGCGCTGATTCCATCTAATTTCACTCTTGACTGGAAATGTTATCAGTTTAGCATATCGTTTTGATATATCATGATTTCAGTATCTATTTGAATGAAAGCTACATCCATTTTCAAGATAATTCTACAGATCCTCCTATTCATCAGATTGAAAACACAAACCAGAAATACTTTCTCAATATGAGAACCAATTGAACACAAAATTAAAATGGAACTGACCGTTATTTTCATTTTTCAGCCATTTATATCAAATTATGCATTGTTTATGCATAATTGCAATTAGCATGCACAAAGCGATATGCATGCTTTGGTGATGTACGCTGTAAATAATGAAATCATGCCTAATGATGCAAAATTACTTTGATAATCTATTCCAGCTGTTCAACGTTCTCTTTAATAACCATATTTTGTTGCACATATCCTATAAACTATTCGAAAATTGCATGAAACTTCAAGCATTCACTATTTACAACTATCAGAAATATACGAAGCAAATTGTAAATGCATGTAGAAGCATTCCAAAGCAGAATATATATTTGAAATTTCTGAGTGAAACTGAAATTCTATTCACAATTTCCCATCTTCTTCCATTCGACGTAAGCCATTGAACTTCAAAGTCAATTCACGGCAATAAATGCATTAAATAGATCTTTCATAGCTCTAATGCTTCGCTATCCCTATCATAGTTGATATATTGAGAAGTTATCATTGAAATGATGTGTTTGATAAATCTCCATATTGAATTCTGGCAGCATTGCTAAATTAATTTCATCTTTCTAATTTCCGAAGTATTAAATTTGTGAAATTGAAAAGAATGTGACTGAAATTCTTCTCTATGCTTAATCGTTTCAGTATAATTGTTAATGGACAGTAGTACTGCAAACAAATGTATTATTGCCAATGATTAAGTGCTAGTCCAAGTAGTTTTAATTGTCCAAATTCGATTCAAATTAAATTAATAGAGATTTGGATTCACAAGTGCTATCACTGTTTCTTAATTTATTTGGCCATTTTTTCAGTTAAATTACACTGATCATTCACTAGTATTTGTTGACATGAATTTAATTTTAATCCAGACAATTATAATACAAGTGTCTGATAAATTAAAACAATAATGCTTTGATGCGATTACACTCTTCTTTCGAACAATTTTGCGTCAAATTAGCATCGATAAAAATCAAACGATCGTCCAATGGTATATCACGAATGCGATAGCAGCCGCCTAACGACTCTTTCAACGAATCCTTGTAATAACAACCGATAAATGGATATTGTGATAAATTTGTTGGACATCTGCAAATATAATGGTGATGTCATAATGATTTGAGTGATAATGATATCAAACTGGTGTACCAACGTTCCATCATAACTGTGTTACGACTTTTCATACCAAATAACTAACTAGCGTATCTTTCAGCATTATCTTTTTTGGATAGTCAGCTGTGTGCTGAAAAGTTTAAGGAAGCACGAAACTTTAAGGCTTTAGTATACATAATTGTTAAATTGACCGGAAAGTAATATTGAAAGTTAGTTGTAATTTGATGACCTGAAGGTATTGCAAGGTGCAACATCTACTCGACTGTCCAAATCACTAGGACAATCCGGCTTATCACCTCCACGTGCTTGCACTATCGAACTTTTATTCACATAACGGTGCATCTGGGGATATTTTGATGATCCGTCCCAGCAACTTGCAGAACATGGTGACCACTCTTTGTATGTAAAAATACACGGTGACGGTTTATCATTTATAATGCTTGAAATCTGCAGCATATATTTGCAATTTTTGTTCACTTTTTAAACTAATATATCATCAACTTGATTTCAAAACAATTCTATTATAATGACTTATAGCAGTAATTTGCATAATTATAAAAAAAAGAAACGAAATTCCCTAATATTATTAAAAAAAGGATATTATAATTGTTCTGAAAATAAAATAAGCATCATAATGCTACATTAATTGCTGTTAAAGAAGAAAATGAATAAAAAGACAAAAGATGACTTCTATGACGTGACTACTATCTTCTCTCTTCAGCACAATCTTCTAGTGATGACATAATAACATTTACTTCCTATCTTTTGAATGAGTCAACCAGCATGCTTTGTACTATCTCTCTTCCTGATTTCTTCACAATGATCCAAATAGGATCGTCATTATCAAACATAAGGAAGATTAACATAAGTTTATAGATTAAAGGAGTACAAAAGTAAGATTGACCTGCCAAAGAGCAATGAACCATCTTGGCAGGTGGCAAGTGCCACATTTATGTACATCGGCAGATTATTTCAAACAAATAAACGAATAAATGACAGCGAGAATAAGTTACCCGAAAAGTAAGAATGATTTGATTCAATAGAAACGCAAGTACAAGCAAAAACATTAAGAGATTGATAAGCAGTAAAATAATATTGATGACTGTTAAGTATCGCACTTTTTTGTTCCTCATTAATGGGTAGATACGCTAAAGTATGGTAGAGTTAATTTGAAAAACTGGAAAAACTATTTTATCTTTAAGTCTCCTTTTACATCATTATTACTGTTGAGACATAGAATAATCCAGTTTATGAGTGGCTTAGATAATTTGACTTTAATCGATTGACACCTAAATAATGTAAAAATGGTAGTTTCTACCCGACTTTACATTGCCCAACTGATACAATTGTTATATCAGATGTAATATACTTTGTAACAGTAACTTTTCATTGAAAAACTTACACTAAACCAGACGAAAAAGCGATTATTGCTACTGCCACGGGATTTTGCTGTAGATGACTTCGTCGAATACATTTCTTTATCGGTAATATCAGATAACTGAGGTAGTTTTAAAAATAATTTCAATGTATAAAATGACAATGTACAACAGTGCAATAGTTTTGTATATTGAAAATAGAAAAAAAATGAAAAATTGATAAAAATTACAAAGATTTTTAAAGGCTAAATATTGAAGAATAAAGAAAACTGATGGAAGAAAACTAGAGTTGAGAATTACAAAAAGAACCTGTTCTGTATCTTCGCCAACTAAGAATTCCACTTGTTCTGGAGCACATTCACTGAGTTGTTCCACTTCTCCACTATTCGGTATCGGACTTAGCTCTTCAGATGATTGCTTCTATAAACCGTAAAATTTCATCGTCTTTTCAGAACTATTAGACATCAGGAGTATAGAATATCAGTAGGTAAAATGCTTAATTCAAGATTTCTATTCACATTTATTATGATTTTAAGATATCCCTCAGGAACTGCTATGATAGGATTATAATACTCAATTTATAAATATGTCATCGGTACAGAAAATTAATTCATATCAGAATCAGGAAAGAGACGTATTTATGATATTTATAATCTAATCGAAATAATAGAACACGTACGTACAGCAGTTGAACCCGAGGCCTTCGTTTCATTGCTGGATGATTTTGTAAACGTCCGTGATATTGTTTTTGAATTCATTTTAGAATTAATCGAACTGAAAAGCAAATCTGATCCCACTAAGCTTCGTAATGCAATTTACGAAGAGAATTTCTATAAAATAATCGAAGGAAGCTCATAACAGATCCTGCATGCATCAAGACCGTCACTTGACTCTCGGATAACACAAAAATCAAAAAATTCAATAGATGGAAGCGAGGTTATATAGCGATCTAACAATATCCATAATGAATTTATAAAAGTTCATACGCTCTCTCAGTCAGATCCAACCAACTACTGCCAATGCTTCCACCTCGAATGAACACTTTCACTTCAGAGCCTGTTTATAGACTAATTTTTTAATGCAGAAAATAATTTATTGGATTCTTCATATCCCACCCGATATTTTCACATGTTTTAGGCCAGCATAAGAGATCAACTTCCTCTTATTATTCTGTGATATTCATATTCATGCCAACAATTTTAAACAGGTAATGCACCACTTATCAATCGATATGTTGGAAATCCTTCAGTGTTATGGAAAACTTCTCATGCAGTTTTGAATTTTTGGTTGGTAATAATTAAAACAGCAAGCCGTTCAAATGCTTGAAAACATTGTGCTGCAATTAACACCCACATAAACCATATCATGCATTTTTTCCCATAACTGATGACCACTGGAAAGCAAATATAAATGTTGCTCACAAAATGAGAATTACGAAACACATCAAAATGTCATAGTAATAACAGAAGTAATGAAATAGATGTAATGCAAAATTGAATAGCAACATGAGATCACGAAGTTATGAAGAAACATATTTTCCTCAAGTAACTTACCATTATTAAATATTTGAAATTTCTGCAATTATATGCTGCATTGGAAAATGTAGCATATAATAGCTAGTACTGATGATGGTGAGAAAACCAGTAGCTGGATGCCATATGAGTGCATAATACATAACAGCAAACAGAAAAGCTTAATCAATAACAACAAAGTCGACTCACAAATCGGGAATTTCAAAAAGAATTAAAGGGCTAATACCAAAACGTTATATAATCCTAAACCTGACAAAACAATCAAATCTTTTAGACGAAACAGAGCAACAAGTCCTGACAATAAAGAGGTACATTTATTCCAAAGTAGAAATATTAAATTACGTAGCAATGTTGTTGTATTTTTCATAAAAATATGCAACACAATCTTCCAGGAGCTTGTCGTCTAATACATATTTCTTAGCCATCTTTTCACCTATCATTTGCAAAAGACCACTAACCAAACGTTTTTCAAGTGGAAAATTGATATTCAAAAGCTTCCTGAAAATTATTTCATAAATATATAAAATATAAGCGAGAGTTACGTAGAAGATGCATAACAGAGAAAGAACTAACATTATGTAACTATGCAGAAGTGCCTTCGCTTTTTCTGGAATCGAAATAAATAGCTTCTCAACAGTATCGAATTTCAAAATATCAACATTGCTCACATTCCTCGCATCAATCGGTTTCTAAATAGACTCATAGTACAGAGCTGGGAGCTTTAGCAAAAACGCAGATGTTTATAATGATTCCCATTTCCAAAAATAACCCTTCTCTTGACCGCCTCATCTAGAAGACTGCTACAGAAAAATTCCCATTTATTTTATATTTCCTCAGTGTAAGTGATTAATTGAAACTTGCCTCTTTTAACTTTGTTACTATCCAACAGGTGATAGATAATGATCCAATGATATTATCGATAATACAATATAAAATAATAGAAGAGAAATTGGATATATAAATGATTTTGAGCTCAAATTTGAAATAAAGTCATAAAACAAACGTTTATGAATAAAAACCTTACTATCTCTTCCATTTTGACATTTGATGTGCATGAGCGTTTCTTTCGAGATCTATTCCTTTCATCTTCTGAAATTATTAAACCATCAATCACCATGGAAAAAAGAAAATTGAAACATTTAATTCTATCATCTTCAGAAATGCACATTGATGAAATAACTTTAATGATTCAGGACAGTTCCATAACTCATTTACAAAAATTTTAGAACTGAAATTTCAAACTTCATCTTTTTTGTAATTTCACGATCTTCTGAAATCAAAACTTTGATATTTCTGCAATTTAGGAACAAATTCACTCTCTTCCCATGAAAAGAGTCTAATATTTCTTAATTTCATAGGGTTGAAATTTAGATAACCTCAGTATCAACAAACTTCTCTGTTGGTAAAATTTTCCCATATCTAAGTGATTCAGCTAAACTATATTTACATCAACAAGATCAAAGCACACGGGAAAAAATTTCAGATTTCTTACCATTAAACAAATTCAGTTCGAGTACAAATGCGGGAAAGTCAACCGTCAGAACAGTATATGCATCACGGCATCGTTTGTGATATATCTGTAAGAGAATAAAAAGGAAGTAAGCCATTAGCCTTATCTTACTTCCGGAAAGATTAAGTAAAACACTTGCAGTGGTCACTTCATAACAGCTACTATTGCTATCAGTATAGATCATTATTTCGCTGCTCCGTATACCATGATTATATCCTTCAGTTCAATATAATCAATACGGTTTTGATCATACCTCCAATATGCTTTCATTTGGTCCATCATGAATTTTCAATGTTTCCGCAACGGAGAGTCCATCAAGAAGAACATGTTCTAAGCAAATTTGCATATTCTGCAAAACAAACGACCATCCTGAATCACCTTTTTGGAATGGCTACTACATCACGTATATGTGAATATGTGAATGAAGATACTGGAAAAGCTACAAAATACACTATAAACATACCGTTTGTGCCATTTCCGAACGACGATACTGGTGATCGATAAGATATGAAATCACACTCTTAATAAGTTGTTCGTCGCTTTCAACACCATTTTCTAGATGAAGCGTCAGCACATCAATTTTCCCAATAAACACTCCACGAGGCACAAGGTTGGCCAGCTTACGCTTTTTCTAAAACGTTATACATAATTCGAAGAGTAGACAAACAAACAAAGTGAAAATTTTACACTCGACACATAAAGTATAACAATCAACAAATCTATACGAACCTGAATTACTTAATAAAGTCATTTTAAGCATAAAAATGAAATATGTTCATTGACCTTTGCAGAAAAAATTTCATTTGATTCAGATGACTTGAAAAAAGCAGTGCTCTTAACGTTGCGCTCTCCATGATCAGACGGCCTTCTTCTTCCACGACGAGTTATGGCAATCGCTTTGTCATTAGTCTTCACCTTCGAAAAAAAAAATAATATTCAAAGTATCTTTTGAATGAAAGGTATATTTGCACAAGAAATCAATTGGTAAATTTGCTACTAAGAAAATATCAAATGAGGATTTTCTTTACGAGAAATCAAATAGTACAAATATCAAACAGAGAACAAATGAAAATTTCCATATTTCAGCTTCACTTTTACCAAATATCAATAGGCTATTTCCCTAGTAGTGTACAGAAAGTTTCGCGAATGTATGACATAACTACAGGCTTCTAAAGTAGAAAATGAGAACTAAGCACTTCTCCAACTGTGTCATTCATTATTTAAGCGATTAAAAATATTTTTTGAAAGTCGGTTTCTCATTTCTAAAGGAACTAAACGCATTCAATACAGAATAAAGTTTGTTCTGAATATAATATAAATTCGATAAGAGAACAATACCATATTTTCTGCCCACAAAAACCCTTTAAGTAAGCGAACGTATGAACTGACAACAGTTACAGGTAATTCTATTATCGCTTTATATATTTCTGATGATTTCTGTTCTGTAAAAATCTTTATAATCGCTTCGCGAATTTTTCTGACATCACCACTATAGCTGAATTCTCGTAAAAGCTGAAAAAACTATGAAATAATTCGATATAAAAATAAGCATGCCAGATGAGAATTTACTAATGTAGTTTTAATTGAATCTATAACAAACGAATGTAAAGAATAACTGGACCAAAGTGCATAAAGTACAGTTAACAATGTCGTTAAAGTGATAAATCACACTTCACCTATGTTAGCTATAGTAAACTTATTCTTCAACATCTACAACAGTAAATGTGAATAAAAGTGCAAAAAAGCCCTTCAAAAATAAGTTAAACCTAATACAAAAGCAATGATAAAATATAATTAGCAACATTCAAGACATACATAAGCATGCAAAACAATAATTTGCAAAACGAAAGTAAGTACTGGAAATATTTCTAACGTGATAATGAATCAACACTTCCAAATAAAAAAATATAGACCTTATCAATCTTTGATTCCAATTCCAAACCAGTTCCCGAAAAATCCTTAGCTTCAACGCATTCAAATTTCTCATTAATTAACATCTTGGCTATTTCACGATCGTTATCAGTCACTGAAAAAAAGAAAAACCTAAAATTTTTTGTAATTAATGTAGTTCAGTCGGATAAATTGTATCACAAACTTGCGCTATTTGCATATTAGTAATAAATCCATGACATAAATGTGGAAGTATATCATGTAAAAAAGATCTTTTTCTTTATATTTGTTGCACCTTAAAAAATAAACCTTTTTCAAGAAATTTTTCCTCTTTAATTTCATTTCCTTCACTTCTGTGAGCCGTTTGTTGTTTAGCTTTTCGAGGTTGAGGTAAATTCAAAGCATCCCGTACGGTGTAAACGTGCTTCATGACTGTTCGCGGTGTTAAATTGGTAGCTCTCGCTGCGTCAACTCCTGTACATCCTTCGTGTAACACCCTGGAAATGGCTGAATAATGTACAACTACAAATTGTTCACTTATATCCCTGATGAGTTATGAGTGCAAAATTTGGAAAACCGAGATGAAACTTACATGCCTACAGCTTCACGTATAGCATTCGCTTTGATCGAGTGTCTACCGGAGATTCCGCAATAGTCATGGATACATTTATCGATACGCTTCTTATCAATTGCAGAAATATCTCGTGTAAAATTCTTCCGCGCTCTTCTGACTTTTCGAATTTTCTTTCCATCTTTCGTCTGATTATCTCCAGTTGCATTACTCTCGTCATCTGGAGTACTCTATTAATTTAACTTTTATGTAACTTTTAAAGTTACAAAGCTATATTATATTCTTGATTACGAAATTCGTTAAATATTCTGTGATCATTCAGTGCTTTCACATGATGAACACTTGGCCATCCAGCCGCACACATAGGCTTTCTAACAAAAAGACTTGTGATGTCAGCCGTAAACTGCGAACATCTTTGTCTAACAGCTGAAAAGAATCCGAAACTAAAGATAAAACGACACACTGCTTGTTTTGCTAGACATCTCTGCTCCTTCATTTTTCACATTCATTTCAATTCCACTCTCTCCTGCCGTCGAAATAATGCTTCGATTATGTTCTTTGACTAAATTAGCTCGGTTCAACAACTTTTCAACCATATTGTAATAGGTTCGAAAGTACGAAACAGCAAGTTTGTAACACTGACAAGCCTCCTAAAAATAATCAATAAAAATACAAGTATAAAACCCATAAAACTAATTTCATGCAATGTAATGCATATGTTGTAAACACAGAATTCAAACAAAATGAATGATTACCAATGTACTGATGACACTGCAAGACAACTAGATAATAGAAGCTAAAAAAATATTACTTGCTCAGTCATCGTCTTGCAGTGCACATCTGTCACTGCACTTTTCAACCGTTCCTTTGTTTCATCGCTTACTCGGCTATATCCTACAACGATATCTATCGCGCGACGAAGTTTTTCATCAATCTGACCTGGAAATTATGAAAAATACTGAGAAGAAAGTAGTTATCAATTATGCATAAGTTATTGATCGCGATGCTGCAACTTCCATTATTAATACATCACTGGCTAATGACCGCACCAATAACCGTTAACAATATGGAAATAAACCGTTTGCCATGCTATCCGTTGACTTTTTGTCATCCCTTCCAACGTTCGCCATCTTTTCTACAGAGTTCACAACGTTTCCATTTTCCGGAACCTTTAAATATTCAAAAAAAAAAATCCAAACAAATTTAACACATTTGACTACTTATCAAAAGTCTGATAACTAACTTCGTAATATCAAACAAACTACATTAAATAAAAAGTAGGCACTAGGTCATTTATATAAACGATTTATTGTATAATCATATCACTAGTAGTCTAGTCAATTTTAAGTAGAAATGTCAGGGCACAAACATCCTTATACATGTCTATTGATTTTGAATTTTTAGAATGGATATGGGGTGTTATATTTTGTTTATTACAAATTTAAACAAAACATCACACTTCATATCCATTCATGATAGGTTCAGTAGTCAAAGCTGTTGCATTTAACCTCTTCTTCAGATAGGTCAGTTTTAAAATCAATCACATCTTAATGAAAAACAATCTTAAGACTTTCGTCTTCAATATAAGAGAACAAAATATCTCACAGATATTTTCTGTTCATTCGCATTTTCATAGCAACCATCAGCGTTTATTACATCAGCAGATTCCAAACTATCGCACTGTTGAAATGTTTCCGTCATGTCAGCAATGCTACTTTCAATGAGCACATTCCCAATACTGCAAGCAAAACAATTCATTATTTTCTGGAAGCATTCTATAAAATATGATCATTCAGTTTTACTTTATCTGTTTAACTATTCAGCTGTATCTTCATATTTAAGCACTCTTAAATTGTATTTTGCAAAGTGTAACTATATTTTCTGTAACTATATATTCTACTTTCACAATGCGTTTTGTGAAATATTTCAAAATGTACTTACCATTTAGCTCTATTCACGTCCATCACTTCCATTTACATCAAATATTCGATCCACCGTCAATATGACGACGTAAAATTGCGAACTGCAAACAAATACACCTGCAACAAATAGCCAACAAAATGGCAATGTAATTTGCACACCGTCAAATTATTAAACACATAAGCATCCAAGCCACACAAATAATGTATGTTGATACATTTTAATTTATATAAGATGCAAGAAAATATCACAGAGCAACGTTGCAAACTGATGTTATTATAAAAATACATATACGAAAACAATAAAATGGGAAAATCTATTTGACCGATTTTCGATTTTCTAAACATCCTTAATCTTTAATTTCATTGACCAAAACGCCGACATGTGCATAACTGATGGAATTGGATTTTTCATCAGAGAAATTATCTTTCAAATTTAAAATAATTCCCATGGCAGATATATGGAATGTGATAACAAATAGATAATTTCAGTAATTCATTTTGTTTTAAGCACAGATTCGATTACGTATTAGAATTGAACTAACGAAATGAATTTAATAGCCACAATCAGCATTAAAAAATCTTATACATGAAATTCAAAAAAATGCAACAACACACACTTCGCACCAAACCTCAATTCCAATCCCTTCTCTCCCATTTGCCTTGGTCGTCTGATCTCTTACACTTCTAATACACTCTTTTACCTCGATGTTACGACATTTGCTGCGCGTGTTTTTCTTTATCACTACTCAAATGACCATACGTGGAACACGTATACTCTATGCGCATGTATCTTAACATGTATGTGCTTATTCATCACAGATCACTTTCCTATCTCAATACACAAGCATTCGCTGACTGAAAATCATTCACGTTACCTTCCTATCTTTGGAAATAAATCTGGAAATTTGTATCTTACGTGAAGAATTATATAGGTAGCCTTGTTACGCGAAATGTAATAAACTTTCTTCCCTCAAACACTATTATCCATTTCGTTGGGTTAATTTCGTTGAGAGAAAAACGAAACTTCACTAATGGCATGCTATTAGTGAAGTCTTTACCTCTTCTGTGTCCTCCATCAGTACTATTTTAAATAAATTCTAACTTTAAACTTGTTCTTATATTTGTCTTTCTGAAATGCATCCCATCGATTAACGAAAAAGCCAAAAAATATTTCTTTAAAACGGAAATTTTCTTATAATTTTTAGATATGGAGGCAGTAATTGCGGCGACATTTTCTGGAGTTGTTGTTTTTTTGTTTTATCGATGACTTTTCTATCATTAAATAACCACGAAAGATAGGAGCGTTTGATAATCGGAAATTCCAACTAATTATTTAACTTCCACTAGCTTAATTTATTAATCATTCAATAGACACACATATATATATATATGTATATATACATTGATTTAGAGTATTATTTCATTAGTGTCGATGGGAGTAATTAAATTTTCCAAATTATAAAATATTATTTGTTTATTTATTTTGCTTATCTACAATTTACAAATGAAAAATCTTTAGAATTTCCCAATTATGAATTATTGTTTATTTTTTTTGTTTCTCACATATATATATATAGGTTAAGCCCTTAGTTTGAAAGTGAGAAATATTTAATGGAAAATTAATTAATTTTGCACAATGCTGCATTTTGCACAATCAATATCATAACAAAAAAAAAGTCAAATACCGTAACGAATTTAAATTAACTATCATAAACCGAATAAAATATCAAGTTATGTAGGCAAATTCAATATGAATTACTAGCAAGTTATTTTAAATCAAGAATTTAGTTTACAAAAAGTCTGCAAGCATTAAGGATAAATTTGATGAGTGTCCAATATGGGACAGCCTTTAGCATATTTCGATGCAAGAGAATTAGGAAAGAACCACTGAATACTGACATGATTGTCCCTTATCATCCCTACTTCTCATCATTTCGTCTTTTTTCCCATTATAAAATTATTTATCACTTCCAGTTCCCTTTTAGAAGTACAAATTTCTTGTCGGCAAGTTTTTTCCTGATGTGCCATATTTTCGTTTTTTGGTTTCGTTATATTTTTCAGAAGTGAGTCGGGAAAGTAGACGATGTCAAATGCCGAAAAACTTGCGGATGAATTTGAAAAAGGCGAAACAGATATTGACAGAATTGGAAAAGGTTCCGGTAAAAGAACTAAAGTAAGAATGAAGCTGAAAGGGAAATTCTTCATGCATTCTAATTACTTTTTTTATTGACACTGTAGAATCATCAATACTTCCTTAAGTTGAAGGAAGTATTGATGAGTTAAAGATCCAATTTATAAATTAATCACTTGCGCAACAATTCCATTGAGTTTGTAAGTGGATATGAATTAAATTTTTCAAATAATACTTGAAAGAAAATAGAACTACTGCAGAGTCCATATGTGGTTTAACTTAATATATTTAACATGCAGTTTAGAGTTTAGAAATTAAAAGTTCACCGAGTAGGCTAAAACGTCTTTTTTCCTTAGGTAGTATGGTGCATTATCATTATATTGTTTACATCGCATACAAATTCTATAATATTTTCCAGATTGAACAACATGAGCATAAGCACTCTCATCCAGAAGGTGATACCAGGAAAATAGTCAATTATTGTGTTAGTGGTCAGGAAAAAAGAAAGGGAACTACTAGCAGCACGGTCAAGAAAGAATAAAATTCGAACCTTTCTACTTTGAGTTGAATAACGGAACATTTCTTGTTATATGTATATGTTCCATGCTCTCAAATCATTTCTTTTCTTAGTGCACTTTCATATATTTTCATATTTTACTGTTTTTTAATTAGTCTTTTAGAGCGTTTGTCAAAACATATTTAACATCACTAATGATAAAATATATGATATCAGTGATAATAAATGATGTGATACTCCTTAGTCTGTATATAATTTTGTTATATAGATAAAACTTGCTAATTCCTATCTATCGCAAAGCTTCAACTGGATAAAAACATTTGCAAGATGTTTTTACAAAATCGTAACATCTCCGTAGGACATAACTTAGGAGATTGGTTTTTCTCGTATGAATCATCGCCGCTTGTATGTAGAATTCATGAATCGGCTCCATAATTGATACATCCTGCATGAATGGGAACTGCAAAGGATTACTGGTTCAAAAGATTGTATGCCCCAGTTTATTCACTGTTGACTTGTGGAATTGTGTAACTCAACTGCTTGCTTAGATGCAACAGTATAGAAAACTTTTTCATTTGCAGGATTTCTCATGTTTTTCTCTGTTTTCATAAGTAATAATTTTGCCCTTGTTCTGTTAAAAACATAGGAATGGAATAGACATTACATTATTCCTTGAAAAAGTGATAATCAGCAAACAATAACAGTGAAAAGACAAGGTTTACATAACATAATAAGTGCAGTTCAAATGGCCTCAACAAAATACTACCTGCAATACAGGTCTAACCCGCAGTTTGACTTCTTGTTTTGCTTTTCGTCTTTTTTTTCCTCTTCTTTTCTATAATTCGCTTGATTTCTTTTGCCCGAGGATCCAAAAGCATTCTTTCAGTATCAAAAATTTCACCCACAGAATCACATATTTTAACAGCTGCTTGTTCTGCTAACTTTATTCCACGGGCCTAAAATGAAAGAGTATGATAAAGACATGTCGTATGCAATTATTGCAATTTTCGTAAAAGTATTTCGTAAAAGTTTTCGAAATTACATCTCAAAAGTAATTGGTGAGTCATTTGATATATATTACCTTTTCAACCAGTTTCTTCATGACATATTTATGGGATCGTTTTTTCTTAATCTCATTTCGAACCGCATTCGGGCTAATGTAGTTAGGATTGTCATATAGAACGGAGCCTTCAAATGATCCATCGAAGATACGAATAATTTCCAATACCATGCGTGGTCCTGAGACAATCATTAATTTCCCAAAAAATCAGAATTTACTCATGTTTAACCTAGCTCCTAATTTTTTCAAATAAAAAAACATTGGAAGAAATATTAGCGTTGAAGCACTTTTAATTTGGCAACAAACCGATTTCCTGAAGTTCAAATGTTCCATCAATAATTTGAAAGTTTCGGAACCATATTTTAGCGTCCGCAGTTATTGAAAACGTGAAAACGTGGTCAATAAACGGTTTACTCCTAGGATGGTGATATGGCGTACTGAATGTCTGCAAGCAACAATGCATGGTAATAAATGTTATTTAACGCATCGCTGACACATAGCACAACAAAATAAAATGATAAATATTGATTTACTAATGTTTGGAGCAAATCGGAAATTCAGAAACAAGTGACCTGCAAGAGAAGTTGTTTGATAAGTGAGAAATGTGCCTGACTATCAAAAGTAGAGTCGAACGAAAGCACCGGTCGTGATCCCTTCAAACAGTTACCAGACATTCGCACTTCATCCATCGTATGCACATTATGTACCAAAAATTTTACAGACGGACCATATGTTGTATTTGATATCCACAAGTATAGATCCTAGAAAGAAAATTATCTATGGAGATGAAACAATCATTATGTTTTTCTTTAGTCACTCTCAATTATATCAACTGAATAGTCTGAGATTACTCAGTGCGCATTATAATCCCCGTAAAATTAGTTGGATTTTTACATAGCATTTAACGCTTTATAATAATATTGCACAATAAGCGTTCTGAATCTAACCTCAGTCATCCTAAGCGTCAATATAGGATATCCCATTAATAGGAAGTATAATGATCCGAGATCAATTGTTCTACAGTTAACAGTAATTACATGTAGAAAAGCTTACCGTATGCTTTCTGTTCTCGAAATACAGACATTTGGTACAGTTTGCTATCTCGGCAATCTCATTAATCAATACCAAACTTTTCTTTTTGTCTAATTTATTATCCGATTTGCTATGCGGCATTAAATTTAAAAAATCTTTCATTAGATGACGCATACGGTAGGATGCACCACGAGAACAAAAAACCAGAACACGCTCACGATTCGTCCATTTTGATTTTACCTGTAATTACAGGAAGTTTATGTACTTTGACAGCAATTTCGAAAAATCCACATGCTTTAAAACATGGATAA